TTTTTTTATATACTGTCGAGATTCAAATGCAGGTAAAAGCCAGAATTAAAATACTAATTTTCAAGAAAATTTGGCCTTTCCAAGTTAGGCGATCGGCACTGCACAATCTTTCTATTGTCTACCCAATATGATCTTGTGACGGGCTAAGTTAAGCTTTTTAAATACCTCGGTATTGTCTGCTTAAGTAAAATAGTCTATTTTTGATTTAATGCTTAGTTATTTTGACAGCCAACCATTTTGAAACGGGTTCTAGTGACACTTTATCAATAACAACAACACGACATCAGTCTCGTGTGTTTTTTGTGTTAATTACAACTTTGCCCAGTCAACCGACTCGAAAACGAGGCCCTGCTTCTTTTAATCATATTCATCTCAGACGACCTTGAGCGTTACTCAACTTGTTCATCTATCAATATCTATCACAATAATAATAATAATAATAATAATAATGTATATTACAAGGGGAGCGCCGATTCTTTGTCTATCACTATTGTTTTGTTTGTTTTGTTTGTATATCAACACCTCATGGGTCATTTCATGCTGAAATTTAATTTTCTTGGGAGCATTAGTAATTTTATTTACAAATATGTGTTGACTGTTGCTCATAATTTTTTTATTTATTTTTATACAAGAACGTATTGCTGGTGGTATATTTTTTATTATTTTTATACAAAAACGTATTTTTGATAATATTTTTTTATTATTTTTTATACAAAAACGTATTGCTGGTAGTATATCTTTTATTATGTTTTTTTTTATACAAAAACGTATTGCTGATATTTTTTTATACACAAAAACGTATTGCTGGTAGTAAATTTATTATTATTTTTTTTATACAAAGCGTATTGCTGGTAGTATATTTTTTATATATTTTTTTAATACAAAAACGTATTACTGGTAATATTTTTTATTATTTTTTATACAAAACGTATTGCTGGTAGTACAGTGTAACCCGGATATAAGAGACCCTGATATAAGAGAAACCCGGATATAAGAGAAGTTTTCTCTGGTCCCAAATTAGAGCCCGTGTTAATGTATATAAATTAGACCAAACCCGGATATAAAAGAAACCCGGATATAAGAGACTTCTCCGGTCCTGACAACTCTCTTATATCCGGGTTACACTGTATATTTTTTTATTATTCTTTATACAAAAACATACTGCCGTTAGCATATTTTTTATTTTTATTTTTATTTTTTTATACAAAAACGTATTGCTGGTAATATTTTTATTTTTATTTTTCATAGAAAAATGTATTGCTGGCAATATTTTTTATATTTATATTTATTTTTTATAGAAAAATGTATTGCTGATAATATATATATATATGTATTTTTTTTCATAGAAAAACGTATTGCTGATAATTTTTGACTACGAAAATGTATTGCTAGCACCTTCACCATAAAAATGTATTTATTTTATACACATTCATAGTGTTTTGACCCCAGTGTTTGTGTTCTCTATTTGCCTATAGCTGGGACCCTAACAGGCGCTACCACCCCCGGTCAGTGTGAACATGAAAAAAAGACAACGAAAAAAAAAACAGCAATTAAGTGGTCATTTCACGCTTCTCAAAACCTCCTGATCAGAGGCCTTGCTGCCGGATGTAGTTTCTTGTACTACCCAGGACGGACACTGCGTGTAACTTTGCATGCGCGCACATAATGTATATGCGCATGTCGGTGTTGTGCGTGAGTGTCTGACATGTGCTTATGCTATTTAATGTACACACACATACGCAATTTGACTGAGTTTTAAATAAGAAATCCGATACAGTCTGGACAACCCCTAACCAAGGCTGAGCAATAAAATCTGAAGACAAGGAGAGAAAAAAAAGCTTCTTTTTTAACCCTAAAATCATAATAAATTATTCGGTAATAAATAAAATTATTTAAATTTTTTTTTTAATTTAAATATTTTTTTTACATTTTAAAATTAGACAGCTTGGATAACCCCTAACCAAATTTGAGCAATAAAATCCGAAGTCAAGGGGAGGAAAAAGCTTCTTTTTTTAACCCTAAAATCATAATAAATTATTTGGTAATAAATAAAATTATTTAAAAGAATTTTTTTTAATTTAAATATTTTTAAAATTTTAAAATAAGACAGTCTGGACAGCCCCTAACCAAGGCTGAGCAATAAAATGTGAAAACAAGGGTAAAAAAAGCTCCTTTTTTTAACCCTAAAAACAATAAATTATTCGGTAATAAATAAAATTATTTCAATTTTTTTTTTAAATTTAAATATTTCAATTTTTTAAAAAATAAGACAGTCTGGACAACCCCTAACCAAGGCTGAGCAATAAAATCTGAAGACAAGGGAAGAAAAAAAGCTTCTTTTTTAATCCCAAAATCAAGAACCTATTCGGCAATAAATAAAATTATTTTTTAATTTTTTTTTTAATTTAGATAGAATTTTATAGAAATACTTTTGAGGCCTGTCATTGAATTAAATATATATGCTCACACGCCGATATGTTAAAATCTACATTCGCTTTGCGCATGAAATTCGATTTTTGACAAACATACTTGCAGTCTTCACTTTACCGACATTCCATTGTAACTTTGTGTCACAGATACAGATGTGGAACTTCCATCAATGAGTTTGGTTTGGATCCTCTCTCCTGTCGTTATAGTGCCGGCCGCTTTCCACAGCATGCAGCAATAAATGACATCATCATCAGAGGTTTGGATGCAGCTGGGTTCCCTTCCCAAATTGAAGGTCTCGTCCGTGGTGATGGAAAGCGGCCGGATGGCATTACCATCTTCCCTATTGAAATGGGGAAGTCGTTGATTTGGGATGCGACTTGTACGGATACATTTTCGGTCGGTAATTTGATCAGGTCCGCGGTTGAGCTAGGATCTGTCACCCATGACTCCGAGATAATAAAAATAGTTAAATATTCTTCTCTTGCTGATTTTTTTTTTTTTTTTTTACTCCTGTGGAGACTTAGTCCTCTTTCGATGGCGTTCCTTCGGAGGATTGGCGCGATGGCATCTCGATTAAGGGACGCACCTCGCGAAATACCTATTTATAGTAAAAATGACCAGCAATACATTTTATAGTCGAATTACCGACCAATAATACATTTTAAAATTGTCTTCAAAATATTTAGATTTCAGCATTAAATAACCCATAGAGGTGTTGTTATGCCACTAAACAAAATCAAACAACCAACAGGAAAGAACTCTTTCATGACATTAATCCATATAATAGCCTACAATTTTACAAAGATATCAAACTATTCTAAAATATAACTTCAACAATACTAAAACATAAAACACATGTATAACCGCTTATAGTAATTATGTCTACACAAACATGTACATCCACAAAAGCCGAGTATCATCTACCATGTATTCAATTGTGAAAGCATAATAACACACTCATGCATAAAGTTTTTAAATTATAAGCAAAGAAAGAAATCCTGAACACTGAGTTTAATGATAAACTAAATCCGTCAGTAAGGCCTCTGATCGGGAGATTGGAGATTTTAAGGAGCATAGAACCACCTCTTATTCGCTGTTATTCCTAGGTCCACCTTGACCTGGGGTGGTAGCACCTGTTAGGGTCCCAGCTATGGGCAAATAACATTATGAAAGTATAAAAATACATTTTTATGGTAAAAATACCAGCAATACATTTTTATATAAAAAAAATTACCAACGATACATATTTATAGCAAAATGACCAACAATACATTTTATCTGTAGTTGAAGCCATAAAATTGTCTTCAAAATATTTACATTTCAGCATTAAATAACCCATAGAGGTGTTGCTTTGCTGCTAAACAAAATCAACCAACCAACATAAATAAACTCTTTCATGACATTAATCCATATAATATCCTAAAATTTCTTAAAGGAATTCGACTGTATTTCAAAATATAACTTTTATAATATAAATTTTGAACACAATTTTATGGCTTCAACTACAGATAAAATGTATTATTGTTAATTCTGCTATAAATAGGTATTGTTGGTAATTTTTTAATATATAAAACTCTATTGCTGGTACTTTTACTTTAAAAATGTATCTTTATATGTTATATTCTGTGTTAATAGGAATATATACTTGGAAAACAAGGTGGATAAAAGTAAAGGTTTATTATAAAAAACCAGTACAATAAGAATAAAGATAACGGTTATGCACAAGGTCGTTGCAAATCAATCCAGTAGTGAGTGCTACTATTGGAAGGTCGGTAGTTCTTGCGTAAGTCTGAGTCGTACTCAACAGATCCCAGCTAGTCAATATTTACTAGCTCCACCCACCTCACGAGCGTAGATGTGGCATAAGGCCGAGTTTAACATGGGCCATCCGAGCCCGTGGGCTCGGCCAAAAATTCCCCGTAGAACTCGCATAAATGGGTTTGGGTCTGTCTACTTCCCCGGACGAGACTCTGCTCTTTGGCACAGCCTCGTCTGGGTTCCTCTCTGTCCGAAGGCAGAGAGTTCGGTAGTATAGCTGGAACAGGTCGCAGCTAGTCTCTGTAGTCCGTTGACTTACAGATACTTATAGGTAGTTACTACCTATAGTGTAGTCACTCATGGGGGTGACAAGTTATTCCATTACATCATTATATTTTCATAGTTTTGTTTTTGTGAGTTCAATATTTGCCCATGGCCGGGATCCTAACAGGTGCTACCTCCTCGGATTAGGGTAGACCTGGAAACAAGAGCAATTAAGAGGTGGTTTCACACTCCTCAAAACTTCCAACCGATGTAGTTGATAATAATTATAGCTTCAATCCCTGGTAGTACGCACACACTCAGAAAAAAGGATTAGTAAAGCTGAATAATTATCCAAGACGAGGTGTCTCTACTTGCATGTGTTGAATAAAGAGTTTAGTTCGAAATCCCTGAAGAAGACTGGGAGACACAGTGGTCGAAACCTTGTGATAGTGGCAAAAAAGATGAGGTCATTAGTCCGACTGTAGATAATGTAAATGTGAAAATACATAATCTCTGAACGGAGAAGGCCGAAGAATGTATCGACCGAAATGATGTGTAAAACATTCGCTTCTTCGTTTTCTTCTTTTTGCACTTCAATACACTTCCAAAAAGAAATCGCCTTCTTCTCTTTCCAGTGCGAACGCAGACCTCTCGACATGCTCTCCAGTCTCCTGCGCCAAGCTCTCCCGCCTCGCCTCCACTCCCGCCGTTCTACGGCCTCCGCCACTACCCCATCTTCCTCATCCGCATCCACCCCGATGCTACCGAAACAGCCGTCCCACTCAACGACGCCTACACCATCCATTCCCCATCGACGGCGCCGTCGACGACATCGGAACACGGAACTTCCACCGATTGCACCGGATGCGACGAAGGCAGAAACACTGAGTGCGTATGCACCGCATTCGGAGGAAGGAAGTGAGAAAAACGCGGGAAATCCTCCAGCTGCAAAACAAACACCAAGTATGCATTTGATAAAAGCGAGGCAATTAAAATACCTTTCAGAAATCGAACCTGAAACATTAAGGTAATATATATATATATATATATATATATATATATATATATATATATATATATATATATATATATATTAGTTTAAAAGTTGTTATGTGCATGAAAGAGGCGTGCTCAATATCGAAGATTGAGTGTTTATAGATATACGAATCCATATTGCATGGGAGCTCAGGAGACTTTCTGATAGTACCATACAATGTTGATTTTATATACACAAGTTATATATATATATATATATATATATATATATATATATATATATATATACCCAGCGGTAACAGTCTATTTCATGCTTAAACGCAATCTTCAGATAGCTTGACTATTGCGTATAAGCATGAAACTGGTGCCGCCGTTGGGCGTTGACCACGATATTAAGCACTTTGAACCATAAATACAACATACCTTATATATATATATATATATATATATGTGTGTGTGTGTGTGTGTGTGTGTGTGTGTGTGTATGCGTGTGATATATGATTTTATATTTATCAAGAATAATTTAGTAATAATAAGTATCACAAAGTGGAAAAAAAAATTTTCGTGTATTGCTTTTTACAATTTGCCATATATATATATATATATATATATATATATATATATATATATATATATATATAAAAGAACAGTAAGATATATAATCCGGTGTTCTTATAGATATTTTATTTTTACAAAATAGTGTTCAATGTAAATTTACAGAGCATCAAAATTCGGTTGAGGATGAAATGGAACTAATATCTTTAATTTAATTACAAAATTAAATTCGGGGCTTTTAGCTTCCATTTTTGAAACATGGTCAGAACTGTGTAACGAAAAAAACATATTTTAAATCAATTAATTTATAATATTAATGCTCTGTAAATTTACATTGAGCACTATTTTGTAAAAATAAAAATATCTATAAGAACACCGGATTATATATCTTACTGTTCTTTCTTTTTATTTATATATGCATATATATGTATGTATGTATATAAATCCTGTGTGCATGCATGTGCGAGTGTTAGTGCAGGTCTATGCATCTAGTTGAAAAAGAAAGAGTCAAACATTATCCGCACTTTTGCCATGACGTATCTGTTTGGTTTGGTTTGGTTTATTTTGTTTTACGGCATACTGGGTTATTTAATGCCAGCAAGTTTGTTTTTTAGGATAGTTTCGTATGAATAGAATATGTATTGTTTGTAAAAAAAAATCAGCTTGTAGACCAGGTTTCATCGGCGTATTTTATGTAAAGAGAATTTTGTCGAGTGTCAAATGTATTGCTGGTATTTTTTTTTCTATAAAAATCTATTTTTTTTATACTTTCATAATGTTTTGACGCCAGTTTGGGAGTTAACTATTTGCCCATAGCTGGGACCCTGACAGGTGCTACCACCCCGGGTCAAGGAGGACCTGGGAACAACAGCAATTAAGAGGTGGTTCTACACTCCTCAAAACCTTCCTATCAGAGGCCTTGCTGCCGAATGTAGTTTATCGTCATACCCAGGACGAATTAAATATTGTAGGTTTAGTTGTATTAACATATAGTAACAACAAGAGTATCTATCTACAGCCCGGGGTGGGTAGATGTATAGATGCGTAAATTAGCATAATGATGTGACTAGCGCAAACCTAAGTTTAACTCTCACTGAGTGCTCTATACTTTTGGCTTTGTGTCACATCTAAGCTACTATTAGTACATCGCTATATTTGTGTGGGTAAAAAACTGATTTGCTTTTTTACGGTTTATCAACCCTTTGCAGGTTATTTAATGCCGGAAAATATTTGGCGATTGTAAGAATTTTCTGAAGATGATAATGATTTACTGATACAAGTTCTACTAATCAACTCAAAGCCGGTAGAGAGAAGAGGTGTATTCATAACTTTTCCGAGGGTATTTGTGCATAAAAGAATATAAAGGACCCAATTTGAATGAAAGAGAGGAAGAAAGAAAGAAAGAAAGAAAGTACATGTAAGAAAGAAAAGATGGGAGAATATATACTAAGAATAAACGAAAGAAAGGAATCGTTACAAAAGAAAAAAAAAAAGAATGAAAGAAAGAAAGACGTTAATAAACAAGATAAAATTAATTTTTTTTCTTTGTCAGAGAAATGTTTTATGTCGGAAAAAGCAGTTCCCAATGGAAAGAAATGAAAGAATATTGTCTGACGATTTTTGAATCTTTCAACAACATGGTAGCCATATTTAAGGTAAGCGAAATATAATTTTTCTTATTAATATCTTCATCTATTTATTGCTTCGGAAACCAGTCAACTATAATACGTCGTCTACAAGCCCTTGTAAAAATCCAAAAGGGAGCAAAAAATGGATTCCACTAAAAATTAAACACATCTCTTCTTGTGCGTTACATAAAAAAAAATCATTTTTGGACAAGACTGACACCATTGATAAAAATTTAATTTATTACAATCCAAAACGAACATTGTATCTCGATTACAGACATTTGTAGTGGTTTGGCCAATCTGTATCGGTGACAAATACAAATTAAACTGACCCTCTACTAATTTTACTAAATCAAATGCAACAAAGACAACAACAACAAGAGAAATAATCAAATAAACAGATATATATATTTAAATGAAAAATACACACGATATAATAAAGTTGTTTAAAACCCTTTAGAGTTCTTGGTTGTGTGATCAAGGCTAATATAAAAGGTGTTATGCTATGTATCTGGTAAGGAATTAAACAGTTTATGTTGATGGTGAAATTGAATGAAATAGATTGCTTGACTTACTGTAGAGTTGTCTCCCTTCGACTGAAACGGGAGATGCCAGTTCAGGGACAATATCTTTGTAGATTCTTTTTTGGATTTTATCAAGAATCTCGAAATATATAGCAGAAGCACCGGGTCATATGTGACAGCAACATTCGAAGCATTGACGAACTGTAGACTTATAAATATGTAAGATGGATACTGGCGAGAGACGTTATCTGACTCGACACAGTGAACTTTTCTTGCAGCAGACCTGGCAATTGATTCAATATAATCGTTCCACTTCGTGTCAGGCTTATCGAGGTAAGAGGAAGGCGCGTTGTAGCTTATTCTTTATATCCGAGTAGGAATGTTTATTCATTGCCGTAGAATGTTGGTTGTAATGAAAAGCAACTAAAATTAAGAGGAAAGAAATAATAGTAAAAAAAAGTTAATGATTGACTCTTAAAGAGATAAAATCACAATTTTGTGATGGCTGTTGACTCGTTAAAAGTGTATGACCATTTCATATACAGGGTGTCCCAGAATAAATGTAATCCAAGAATGTGAACGCCATTTATTTTTCTGTTTTCAAACTGTTGTAGACAAGCGTATGGTTGCAAGAAAGAAATACGACAACAGCAGAAATAGATTTACGTGGTTTATTTCAACAGGAACGTGTGGGTTTGGGACAGCTACCTTGGTGTGGTAAAGTTCATAAGCCGGCTTTCGGGTCTAGGTCGATCTCTCATAGTAGTTCACACATGTTGACGGTAGTTGATGCTCTCCTGCTGCTGATCGCTCGGCCTGACCGTGACAGGTCTGTTTGCGGCCACCTGTGGACTGCCTGTTGAACTTCCGTGTGACCTCTTTTATAGCATTTTTTTATGGCTTAACAGGCTCGAAAAACGAAGCGAGTATAATTAGGAGGGGAAGCATTTTATTGGACGAAAATAGAGCACTTTAAATATTATTTTATTTTTCGACCGGAACACGTGTGTCGGGGAACATTTGTAAATGAAGATAATGGTCATTTTGTGACGGGGTCTTGTCCCGTTCACATCCGGTTCTCGCTCTTGAGTATTTGCCTGTAAATCAGCCGAGATATGTCTTATTTTATTTTATAACAAAACTATATACAAACCATATATTTCTGAAAACTAGAGGAAATGGCAAATCTACTGCTGCAAAAAACATGTCAATAGCTCTACTGGCAAAGATTTTATCGTCAATTATAGAATATGCCCCAAATGTGTTCCGTTCTGCTGAAGTCACACTTGAATTATACGGCCGAAGTTGTCTATGACTTTGATTCAATCTTCTTTTGGTATAGCTCTGATTTATTGAGTGCTTGCTGCCTTTAGCTCTGAGATGGTGTGGGGGTTGTTCCTGTAGACTCGATCCTTCAGATACCCCAACAGATAAAAATCTGGGGGTTGAGGTCGGGTGAATATGGAGAGCACACAGGTCCCGCGTTTATGGCTGATGTGTCGGTTGGAAACTTCTGATCCAGCCGCTACAGAGAGACATTTATTGTTAGAGGAATGGCCTCATCTTGCTGGTAGCACTGGTGCCCCTTTTGAACTCTGGTTGAACCTCTGCCACGGTTCATGGGAGGATTTGGTGAAGCCGGGGCCCTGGCATCTTCTACGGACGGATTTCTTCGAGCTCCTGCCTACTGAATTCCGGACAGCTGCTATGTTTTCAGGAAACCTTACTGTAGGTTTTCTGCCAACTTTGCTTGCTGGAGATCTTTTTTCTCGTGTCCTTGATTGTCCTTGTAGCACCAAGCATCTTAATCCACCGGTAAATATCAGTTTTGCTAAAGGTTTTATTCCAATCATACTTTATGCGGAATTTTACGACGCCATGTTTATAGGAATTTCCCTGCAATTTTCTCAGCGCAGAATATTTTCTGTTCTTCTGTAAAAGACATTGTAGTTGGTGTTCTGGTTTTGCTATCTTCCCAGCTTTCTAAGTATGAGATATAAAAGCAAAATATTAAAAATCAACAAAATTAGATACGTTTATTTGGGCTACATTTACACTGGGACATGCTTCATCTAAAATATTCATGAAAAAATTAATCGAATTAGAATTGGAGTCCTTCTTTTATGTCGGCACATACAATCTTTCTGAAATGTAGAGCACATTCATGGAATGCCAAGAAAAGTATCCCCGGATTTTTGCGACAATGATATCGACTGCAAAGAATCTGCAAAATTATTGGTTCTGACCTGGCATCTCGGCTTCAGTTACTTTCCCACTGCCGTAATGTCGCTTCTCTGTGCCTTTTCTATATTTTCATGGCAATTGTTCTGGCGAGCTTTCCTCTTTGGTACCCGGACTTCATGAATTTAAATTGGATTGGCGGTTAGGTCTCATGATTCCACTGTTAAAATTTCTAGATATAAGCGTAAATTTTATTCTAATAGTTTCCACTCTAGCACTTCTCGTCTGTGGAACGTTTCCGGTTTCTTGTTTCCCTGTCAACCATAATCTTCAAAAGTTTAAATGTAACGTCAATTGTCAACTTGTGTCTCCTTGAAACACTTCTTTTATTGTCTTTTCTCATGTGTATATTTCAACCAGCTACTGAAAATGCATTAATTTTAAACCCTCCAAAAAAAAAAACACCTGTGTATATTGCAAATGGTTACTGAAAATGCATTAATTTTAACCCCTCCAGAAAAAATTACCTGTGTATATTGAAACCGGTTACTGAAAATGCATGAATTTTAACCCCTCTAGAAAAAAAGAGAGATAATTACCTGTGTATATTGCAACCAGCTACTGAAAATGCATTAATTTTAACCCCTCCAGAAAAAATGCATGAATTTTAAACCCTCCAGAAAAAAATTCTGTGTATATTGAAACCGGTTACTGAAAATGCATGAATTTTAACCCCTCCAGAAAAAAAGAGAGACAATTACCTGTGTATATTGCAACCAGCTACAGAAAATGCATTAATTTTAACCCCTCCAGAAAAAATTACCTGTGTATATTGCAAACGGTTACTGAAAATGCATGAATTTTAAACCCTCCAGAAAAAAAATTATCTGTGTATATTGAAACCGGTTACTGAAAATGCATGAATTTTAACCCCTCCAGAAAAAAATTATTCGTATATGTTGCAACCAGTTACTGAAAATGCATGAATTTTAAACCCTCCAGAAAAAAATTACCGTCATATCTGAAACCCTATAAGATGAAATAAAATATGTCTGAGAAAAAAGAACTTCCAGTAAGCCATAATATATATCAGGTTTATCTTAAACATTACATATTATTGATAATTAATGTTGTCTGTCAACTTTTAAGTTAAAAAAAAACATATGAATAGGAACATAACAGCAACTTCCATCGTATTAAGAAATAAAAAACATAAAGTGACTCGTGTCTAAATATATTTCTAACTGATTTTGACCGACACAAAACAAATTTAATTCACTAAGATTTTAGAATTTATTCATCTCAGATGATCAAAACAAATAACATGCCTGACTCATGTGAAGGTTGATACTGAGACCTGGACTGCAGTCTGTAGGCCAGGTCTGGTTCAATGGCAGCGATTTTAGAAATTGGTAGTGTTATAAAATAAAATAAGACATATCTCGGCTGATTTACAGGCAAATAAACTAACATACCCAAGAGCGAGAGCCGGATGTGAACGGGACAAATCCCCGTCACAAAATAACCATTATCTTCGTTTACGCATATTCCCGACGCACAAGTTCCGGTCGAAAAATAAAATAATATTTTAAAGTGTTTCTATTTTTCGACCAATAAAAATGCTTCCCTCCTAATTATACTCGCGTCGTTTTTCGAGCCTGTTAAGCCATAAAAAAACGCCATAAAAGGGGTCACACGGAAGTACAACGGCAGTCAACAGGTGGCCAGACAGATCGGTTGAACTCTCTGCTTTCGGGTGGGGAGGAACCCGAACGAGGCTACGCCGAAGAGCGGATTCTCTATCGGGGAGGTAAACCGACCCTGAACGGCTTCAATGGGCGTATTTTTGGCCGAGCCCACGGGCTCGGAGATCCCATGTTAAAAAGGCCTTGTGCCACATGACGCCCTCGTAGGGGGTGACTGAATATCGTCAACGGGTGGCCAGGGAAGAGACCTGTCACGGTCAGGCCGAGCGAACGGCAGCAGTCAGCAGGAGGAGCGCTACACAGCCAGTGAGAACTACTATGAGAGATCAACCCAGATCTTCAGCCGGCCTATGAACTATACCACAAGGAAGCTGTCCCAAACCCACACGCTCCTGTTGAAATAAATCACGTAAATCTATTTCTGCTGTTGTCGTATTTCTTTCTTACAACCATACGCTTGTCTATAGCAGTAGGAAAAGGCTAAGGTCAGGTTCACACTGCCAGAGGGCATCCACGTAGTACTCCTGCCATCTTTTGGTAAAACATGAAATTGCGTTTCTTAGGTGTGTACTTTACATGCTCTGATTGACATTACTGGCGGACGGTAAGTGATACATTCAGAGAATGGAGGCCATATGAAATTTGACCGCGGGGCGTAATTGGCCTCCGGGCCGGACTTTGGACATGTACAATAAATACAAAAACTAAACCACTATGCCGAAACGTTCTACAATATAGCTGTTTCCCAAATTTATAGAGATAAAGAAGGTTTATTGTTCCATCCTTTTCCTTACACCCATGAAAGTTCTCTCTTGTTTTTTTTCTAAATCAATATATATTATATTTCTTCAGGTAAAAGATCTCGGTACTAGCTACCTCTCATCCGATTGTATCCTGAGAAAAGAGATGCTGGACGTGACCTATGACCTAATAACTGAACTGGTTAGTATCATGGGGATTTATCTACTAGTATTGACTGCCACGTGTTTAATGATGAGAATGGTATATCTTTGTCCATGGGAAAAATATCAAGGTTTATTTTATTTTTACTTTTTTTTTTTTATATTTTGATCATCCATATTACAGCTGTCACAGAAAACGCTCGTAATTTTAAGTTGCCTTTCATCACATTAGGTAAAGAAGAGCAAAAAAAAAAAAAAAAAAAGGCATGGAAGATTTTGCGCGTTACGAAACAACGGCATTAACTTATTATAATTTTACATAAAGAAAAAAAAAATCCAAAACGTTAAAGATACGGGGAAGCTCAGCTCAAAGTTTTCATGTCCGGTGTATCGAGATGTACACTGTAACCCGGATATAAGAAACCCTGATATAAGAGAAACCCGGATATAAGAGAGATTTTCTCTGGTCCCAAATTAGAGCCTGTGTTAATGTAAACAAAATAGACCAAACCCGGATATAAGAGAAACCCGGATATAAGAGACTTCTTCTCCGGTCCAGACAATTCTCTTATATCCGGGTTACACTGTATAACCTAACCGACATCATGTAACTTTCTATCGCTTTCGCGTTTTCGATTTAAAGGTTTCATTTACACACACACACACACACACACACACACACACATATATATATATATATATATATATATATACACTAGCAGTAGAGCCCGGCGTTGCCCGGTGATGGAACAGTAAGAGATAGATCAAGTATCGACCATCATAAAGACTGAAAAATAAAATTGACAAAGATTATTGTTTAAGGTTGACGGACACGCATGTCTTAATTAGTTTTTTTTTTTGTTGTTTTTTTACGAATTGGTCAAACCCAAACTCAAACAAAAACATTGTTTTCAATCGTTATAAGTTTACCGATTGAATAGAATTTTATTATAAACAATTGTCTTGTAAATGAAATTTTTAAAGCGTTCTGAGTGTAAAAATAAAGAAAAAAGTGTGCAAGACAATAAGAAACACTACCTGCCAAAAAAAAGTGAAGTTTTGTTGAAATCGGTTGAAAAATGTAGGAAATCCGATCCCATATATAAACGAACACACACACACACACACACACACACACACACACACACACACACACACAACCAACCTGGGTTTTATAATAAGTATAACTCGATAACTCGATATTAATAAGTATAACTCGATATGAGTTGTCCCCCTTTCATTAATGCCTCTTAATCGTGTTTTCAAATTGATTTCGTGCAAAAACAACTGTGTTTTTCCATTTTGGCGCTGTCAGAACCACCGCAAGGTAATTTTACGCAGTCCTGTTAAGTTTTGTTGAAATCGGTTGAAAAATGTAGGAAATCCGATCCAATATATAAACGAACACACACACACACACACAGCCTGGGTTTTATAATAAGTATGATTCATATTATTATTTTTAAAATATTATACATCTCGATGCGGAAATTTCTATGTTTCAGAACCTTAAATTTGTTCCATTATCAAGAAATGATGAGTGACTTTTGATGAAAATGATTTACTTTTGAAAACAGAATGGTATTTTATTGAAGATTTTAAAAAGTTTGGGGGAAAAGATTTCAAAATTTTATGGGTATGTCCTGTTTGACCAATGAAAAGACAGGTCAAAGCTAAAGCAGAAAAGTGAAAAAAATGTAGTTTAGTGATTTAGGGGTGTGCGTGTTATTCCTACTTGTCTAGATGAGCTGTCATTTTTAGACGTGCTACCATTACTTCCAGTTAAGAATATAATTTTAAGATACAATGAAATGATCAGAGAAATATATATACAACAATAGGTTAATTTTAGGATTTTATTCTTTTTTTAATAAAATATTTTTGTATATACTTTAGAATTATCTTAAAGGAGCCTTTAGTATGATTAAATCAATTTTATATATTACATTATATTGATGTATATTACAATATTTATCATAATCAATGGGCTATATTGAAATTAAAAATCGAGAAACTGAATAAATATTATATGTGCCATTATATATAGTAAAATAATGGATATACAATAGCAATATATAGATTTTTTATGAAAAATTCTATTAACTATATTTTAAACTAAACACTGTAAAATGCCTACATATTGCAAATAGTTCATTCCGCTGATTTAATAGATCATTATTAGATTTTTATTTTTTTATTATCATTTTTATTATAAGGAAACTTCATAATATGTAGCTTTTCATGTAGACACGGGGTCATAGATCATTTAATGACTTACAAATTCTCGTTTTTTTTAAATAATTTCCATTTCATTGTGGGGGGTTTATTGATTTCTTTTAAATACCAAAAATATTTTGAGAGGGATGTTCGGTTACGGTACTTATTGTTGTTAAAGGAAGAAATATGTTGATACCACCTTCCTTTAAAAGGATACTTTGTGCTTCCAATATAAAATTTCTTAACATCTGGGTTTTCAGTAGATTAAATGGTGCAGTGGTAAACAATCGATTCAGTAAGGCATTTGTTTTGCATGGAAAACTTATGGGATTTCTACAAGTACATAATTTATTATCAATATTATTGAGGGAAAAGGGAAAAGAAAAGATCATAAACACTGTCTTCAATATGAAGTGAGAGCGGGTGTGGCTTTAGATCAACAGGTGGCCCCGACGAGAAACCTGAAAAAAGGAAGATTTCCTGGACAGACCTATGGTATACCGATCCCAATAATGCAAGCTTCCTTGTGCAGGTAGTGTATGATACACTACCCAGTCCGACAAACCTCCACACGTGGGGAAAGAGTCAGTCTCCACTTTGTCCGTTGTGCCAGAAGAGAGGGTCTCTCCAGCACCTATTGAGCGGTTGCCCCAAAGCGCTTAGCGAGGGGAGGTACCGATAGCGCAATGATAAAGTTTTAGAAGTCTTTGTAACAATAGTATCAAGGAGTCTAAAATAAAACAGATATGAACCGAATAAGAAGACGATGAATTTTGTCAGGGCCGGGGAAAAAGTAAAGATTTCACAGAATAAGAAAACATTCCTCCTCAGCTCTGCCCTGGACTAGCAATTGAGAGTAGATATAGGCAAGCAGCTTAAATTCCTCAGTGGAAATAATACAAACTAAGCATTGTCCAGACATGGTTATTTATTCTGAAAAGACCGAGCAAATCATCATGTTAGAATTAACAGTACCTTGGGAAGAAAATATGGAAAGCCCACGAAAGGAAGCTTAGGGAATATTTACTGATTGTAGACGAATGTAAAAGACGCGGTTGGAAAGCTGAGTGCGAACCCATTGAAATCGATTACAGAGGCTTTGCTGGGCGGCCTCTATGTAAGATGTTGCCAAAATTAGGTGTAACAGGTTTGGTAAAAAGAACAAAACTATTCGCTCAATAACTTTGGCAGTGGAAGAGGCTTCTAGATGGCTTTGGTTGAAAAGATCAAGTGATTGACAGTCAGTAAGGAAATGAAAGGAAGTTGCGGTTGATATTTACATATATTTTTTGTGGGGGGGGGTTAGGTCTTGGGTATGACCTAAAACTACATCCGGCAATGGAGTCTCGACTAGGGGACAGAATTAAGGTACCCCGAACCATTTTTACCGACGGGTGATCCATGGCTAAAATCTAGCACCTGTTTGCCCTCCTACCAGGGTTATGGTATATAGTATATATTTTTTTAGATGTGTGTGTTGGCGCGCGCGTGTGTGTGTGTGTGGCGGCATTGATATGTGCATGCGTGTGTGTAACTCATATAAGTGGAAGGTCAAGGGTGAAAAAAGAAAAAAGTGGGAAGAAGGAAAAGGAAATAATTTTCTTTTTCTCTTTTTCTTTTACTTCGCCGGATGATTAACATGAATGAAAATGGGGATAAGTTTAAGCAGAATGTGATGTTTGAGTGCATTTCTCTCTCTCTCTCTCTCTCTCTCTGTCTGTCTCTGTCTCTGTCTCTCTCTCTCTCTCTGTGCGTGTGAGAGAGAGAGAGAGTGCGTGTGTGTATCTCGGTGGGGGGTTAATCAAATCGGTACTTACCACTTCAAGCCTAGCACATCGCCATATTCCTGATCAGATAGAAATTGTGATTGCGTTTGCTTCCTTTTTCGTAGAAGAGTGCACACTGCTGGTGAACCGGAAGTCACTCGGGATTGGACAATAAATTGCCAAGAGGAGTCACATGGTGTGTAGTTCGGAAGATGGAAAAAAATTGTAGCTGACGGCAGGTAGACAAGTCGATACCCGATCAGTATCTGCTGAGTCACCGTGGAGAGGCGGGTATGATGTTGAAAGACCCGAAACCCCTCATGAACCTCGGCTAGAAACATCACTGATGATGTGTACTAATGCATCCAATAGATGTATTTTACGAAATTTCCGTTTTGGAATTACTATTATTTGTATTTAGGTTTAAGTGTTTATTAAATATTTTATTATTATGTTTTTTATAATTTTTTTCTAGGTTATCAGTACAGCTATAACTTATTTTTTAGCGTATTTTTATTGAAAATCTTGCTCAGAGGATTATTACTTGAAAAATGTTTTTCACTTAAAGCAAGAAATTTTTGCCCCAACTTACTGCTAACCATTTTGCTAAAAATACCGTACTAAAAACAGACGTATAAAAAAGTGCTCGATGCAGCTACCTTGAATAAAAAAAAAAAAGACATGCAGGGCAAGTAAATATAACAAAGGGGTAAAAACACCTTATGTAATCGCGCACTATCTTGGTTTCGACCATCAGGTGTCATCAGGCGGCGGGCAATAAGTGTTCGTAATAGCATATCATATTACAATTATACAGCTATGGCACCGGAAGTCGAAAAGAGGAGGAGCAAAAAATATTATTCTTCATCCGGGATCGTACAGACCAAGAATTTTGTACTTATATGTCTACACCTGGAGATTATTTTATTTCTACCATTTAACAACATACGGCTGTTCTTTTATGTTGCCATAGCCAACTTCTCTTCCTGACACAACCTACAACTGCTATCTACACCTGGAATTACTGCTAACGATTTTGTTAAAAATACCGTATCAAAAACAGACATATAAAAAAGTGCTCGAGGCAGTTGCCTTGAAAAAAAAAATATGTTATATATATATATATATATATATATATATGTGTGTGTGTGTGTGTGTGTGTGTGTGTGTGTGTGTGTGATGATTATTTATTTGTTTGTCTATCTATGCACGCCAACACGCGCGTATACAGTTGCTTATATCTGGTCGTTTGAAATATATATATATATATATATATATATATATATATATATATATTATAAGTTAATTGATTTAAAATATGGTTTCTTTTTCGCTACACAGTTCTAACCATGTTTCCAAAACATTTTTGAAACATGGTTAGAACTGTGTAGCGAAAAAAAAACATATTTTAAATCAATTAATTTATAATATTAATGCTCTGTAAATTTACATTGAGCACTATTATGCAAAAATAAAAATATCTATAAGAACACCGGATTATATATCTTACTGTTCCATCTTTTTATTTATAGATATATATATATATGTGTGTGTGTGTGTGTTTGTGTGCGTGTGTGTGTGTGTGTGTGTGTGTGTGTGTGTGTGTGTGTGGACAAAGCTTAGAATATGTCAATCTAGATTTAGATACAGTTTTTCTAGTTGAATTGTTCATCTATATTGCATATAAACCATTATTGCACATAATTAGTTTATAACAACATTAATCATACTTATTATAAAACCCAGGTTGTGTGTGTGTGTGTGTGTGTGTGTGTGTGTACGTTTATATATTGGATTGGATTTCCTACATTTTTCAACCGATTTCAACAAAACTTCACAGGACTACGTAAAATTACCTTGTGGTGGTTCTGACAGCGCCAAAAATTGGAAAAAAAATTGTTTTTGCATGAAATCAATTTGAAAACACGATTAAGGAGCATCGGGAAAATGAAAGGGGGACAACTCATATCGAGTTATACTTATTATAAAAGCCCAGGTTGTGTGTGTGTGTGTGTGTGTGTGTGTGTGTGTGTGTGTGTGTGTGTTCACTTATATATGGGATCGGATTTTCAACCGATTTCAACAAAATTTCACTTTTTTTTGGCAGGTAGTGTTTCTTATTGTCTTGCACACTTTTTCTTTATTTTTACATTCAGAATGCTTTAAAAATTCCATTTACAAGACAATTGTTTATAATAAAATTCTATTCAATCGGTAGACTCATAACAAGTGAAAACAATGTTTCTGTTTAAGTTTGACCAATTCGTAAAAAACAAAAAAAAAACAACAAAAACAAAAAAACAAACAAATTAAGACATGCGTGTCCGTCAACCTTAAACAATAATCTTTGTCAATTTTATTTTTCAGTCTTTATGATGGTCGATACTTGATCTATCTCTAACTGTTACATCCACGGGCAACGCCGGGCTCTACTGCTAGTCATTTTTATGAATACTACCTTATGAAAATTGAGTCGTAGTAGAATGGGGGGGTGCTCCGTATCATAGACTGGGGGTATCATAGATTCCCGGAGTTGATGGGCGAGACCCTTGCACCGGCCCTAATTATGATGCTTAGTATAAGAAACACGCACGGATAGGTAATATACAAGAGATGTTAATGTTTTCAGATGTGTGAAGACAAGTGGCGTGGTCGGCATTGCAAGCTCGTTGGCAAGGAGTTTTGAGATGGGGGCCTTTTACGTCTAGAGCGTGGGAGTAATAATTTCTACGCTGAAATTAGATCATATTATTTTCCCAGGTGAGGAGGGCAAATAATTTTCAGTAGGCAGACACCCCAACCCCGGCGATAGACATGCAACAATGATAGGATTTATTAAAATTTTACTATCTTATTTCTTTTTTGTAGCCATCTGAAATCCAAAGGCTAATACTTAAATCCATTGTCAACTGCTTATTAACAGATCGAAGGTAACACAAACACACACACACACACACACACACTCACATATATATATATATATATATATATATATATATATATATATATATATATATACCCTGCGGTGACAGTCTATTGCATGCTTAAATGCAATCTTCAGATAGCTTGACTATTGCGTATAAGCATGAAACTGGCCGCCGTCGCTGGGTGTTGAGCACTTTGACCCATAAATACAACATACCTTTTATATATATATATATATATATATATATATGGGGGGGGCTAACGATATATGATTTTTATATTTATCAAGAATAATTTAGTTAGTAATAATAAGTATCACAATGTGGAAATAATTTTCGTGTATTTCTTTTTACAATTTGCCATATATATATATATATATATGAAGAAAAATTTGGAAAAAACAAACAAAAATCCTTAAATGCAATTATGTTGTTTAAAATGAATGAAATGTCGACGTCTGACGTTTCGGTTTAATAAACCTTCTTCAGGACAATATTCATTAAAATACAATTCAGTTCAATTTGACAAAGACAGTGGACATAAAAACAAGTCTTATCCAAAACAGATAACTGAAAATTTTTAAAATGATCAGCTTTCCGTTTAGCATGGTCACGTTGTCGTCACATGGGCGACGCTTTCAAAACGTATTCCTAAAAAAATTTTGATTATTTTGAATGAAAAAGAAAATGAAAAGAATTCTATTAGGACCATGCTAAAAGGAAAGCTGATCATTTTAAAAATTTTCAGTTATCTGTTTTGGATAAGACTTGTTTTTATGTCCATCGTCTTTGTCAAATTGAACTGAATTGTATTTTAATGAATATTGTCCTGAAGAAGGTTTATTAAACCGAAACGTCAGACGTCGACATTTCATTCATTTTAAACAACATAATTGCATTTAAGGATTTTGGTTTGTTTTTTTCAAATTTTTCTTCATTCTGTCGGATCTATATCCATTTACATTTGCTTATATATATATATATATATATATATATATATATTAGACATAATAATAACAAAAAAAAACACTAAACTAGAAACATACTTTAAACCGACTGACTCTCGACAATATCTCCTTTTTACATCATCTCACCGGAAACACACTCGTACCAACATCCCACTCAACCTAGCCAAGCGGATATGTATAATAGTCTCGAACCCAACCACTAGAGACCACAGACTAGAAGAGATGTAAAAAAAAAAATACCCATCAAGAGAAAATACCCACAAGGTTTGGTCAACATATATATATGTGAAAAGTCTGTGCATATAAATATAAATAATATATATATATTTATTATTTATAAAGAAAATTATAACATAAATATGTTATAAAATCACTACAAAAATAGCCATTTTGTTTCAACACCCTCGGTGTCTTATCAAGTGATGATGTTGAAGATAAAATAAATGGTTTTAAAAGTTTCAGATTAATTAACGATCCTACACTAGGGGGAAACATTGTTACAAAAGCTAGAATAACCAATCAAAAACCAAGTATAGAAAGATTCAAAATCTTGACAACGAAATCATGTTATAATAGCTATTCAGATCTTTAAAATACGGGTAATATTAAAAATAATTTATACTAACCAATAATTATAAAATTATATGATAAAATTTAATATTAAAATTAAAAACTGGCAATTTTAAAATCCAAATTTAATCACTATTAAGTTTAAAAACTACAAAATTATTGAGAAAAGAAAAAATATATATGTTTATTCAATTTATTTCTTCGTTGAAATTACGAAGAAATAAATTGAATAACATATGTATTTTTTCTTTTGTAGTGATTTTATAACATACTTATGTTATAATTTTTTTATAAATAATAATTATATCCGCTCTACTTTGTATTGAGCACTCTTTTAAGAATAGTAATTGTTGGTTATTGGAATTCATTCCGTATATACCAATTATATACTTGTATATATATATATATATATATATATATATATATATATATATATATTATGATTTATATATTATATGCGCGGTACTTATTAGAAAGCGCTCAATATCAGAGATAGAGCTAACAAACTCACATCAATCCAACCATATATATATATATATATATATATATATATATATATATATATATATATATATATATATGTAAGCAAATATATGGATATAGATCCGACAGTATGAAGAAAAATATATGGAAAAACAAAAATCTGAATATGCAAATATGCTGTTTTAATTAATGCTCGACAAACGTACTTATAAATTTTAGGTTAAAATAAAATTCTTTTTCATTTTTCATTTAAAATATACTCTATTTTAGGAATACGTTTTCCCAACATCGCCCACGTGACGCCGACGTGATCATATTGTGAAACGGAACGCTGATCTTCTTCTGTTTTGATTAGTCTTACTTTTATGTCTATCGTCTTTGCATGTTGACTTGAATATCGTCTAATGTTAATTATGTTTTAATAACTATGTCCTGAAGAAGGTCTACTAGACCGAAACGTCTGACAGTCGACATTGAAATAACATTAAAACAGCATATTCGGATTTTTGTTTTTCCATATATTTTTCTTCCTATATATATATATATATATATATATATATATTACTAATTAAAGAATATCAAACATTTAAAATCCTATATATATATATATATATATATATATATATATATATATAATTATTTATTTAAAAATATGATTCCAAATCGCTACATAAGAGGTCTCATGTTTTCAAAACAAGAGCCGAAAACTTCAATATAATCCTTTTAAATTAAATTGAGTTTAAATTAAAATGGGCTCCGTTCCATCTTCAAGCGAAATTTTTGTTGGAATCATATATTCATATATATATATATATTCATATATATATATATATATATATATAAAGAAATATAGTATTAACGTGTGCTATATTTATGGGATGAAGTGCTCCATATCAGAGATAGAGCGTATGTAAATATAAATATAAAAGTGAACATTGAAGTCAACACTCAGAGGTGACAGACTGTTTCATGCTAGACGCAATCGTCAGGCGGCCTGACGATTGCGTCTAGAAAAGTCCGGAAGTTATGATAAAAACAATGAAATTATTGATTCTCTTCCATGATAACCATTTGTCAATTGATATTATAATTTACTTTGAATATTTCACAGGACATCAAGTACAGATTCACTTCGGGCTTACTACATTCTTTTGTTGGTAAGTAAATTTGCGTATACCTAGTGAAGGTATCTTATCGATGGCCACTGACATTACCGCTACTCTATTAGCGAAGAGAAGTTCTAAACGTGCTTTAGCAGGCATTAAGAAAAGTCAACTTCCTAATTTGGTACTGTTTACAGCCATATCACATTGAAACACCGATTCCCGTACGAACATCAAAGGTTAAGCAACGTCGAGCCTGGTCAGTACCTAGATGGGTAACCCCTTGGGAATACTAGGTGCTGTAAGCTTGTATGTGCGGGTGATATAAATACCTTACAGCCATATCCCGTTGAAATATCGATTCCATTATGATCACCGAAGTTAAGCAACGTCGAGCCTGGTCAGTACCTGGAATGGGTGACAGCTTGAGAATACCAGGTGCTGTTAGCTTCGATGTGCGCGTGATATAATGAGCTTACAGAGATATGACGTAGAAACACAGGTTTCATTATGATCACCAAAGTTAAGCAACGTCAAGCCTGGTCAGTACCTGGAATGGGTGACAGCTTGAGAATACCAGGTGCTGTTAGCTTCGATGTATGGGTGACCCCTTGGGAATACCAGGTGCTGTAAGCTCGGGCGTGCAGGTGATATAATGAACTTATAGCGATATAATGTTGAAACACCGGTTCCCGTATGATAATCGAAGTTAAGCAACGTCGAGCCTGGTCAATACCTGGAATGGGTGACAGCTTGAGAATACAAGGTGCTGTTAGCTTCGATGTGCGCGTGATATAATGAGCTTACAGCGATATGACGTTGAAACACAGGTTTCATTATGATCACCAAAGTTAAGCAACGTCAGTACCTAGACGGGTGACCCCTTGGGAATACTAGGTGCTGTAAGCTTGGGCGTGCAGGTGATATAATGCACTTATAGCGATATAACGTTGAAACACCGGTTCTTGTATGATAACCGAAGTTAAGCAACGACGAGCCTGGTCAGTATCTAGATGGGTGACCGCTTGGAAATATTAGGTGCTGTTAACTTGGATGTGTGGGTGGTGAAATAGATAATGGCTAGAATTGTTAATCAGAGAGACGAGTTTCAATTCCCGTTGGGTTCGTTATATTCACTTGCGTGCAAATACCCTGGAGAAAGGTATGACTTCTCTTATTTCCCCCTAGCTATGGGTTAATTAGCAAGACCTGTGTCACTAAATCATTCTTTAAAAGATTCTTCAAATCTAATAATATTTTCTGGCTTTAAATAAACTGCAAAGGGTTGATAAACCGTAAAAAATGAATGAATCGATCAATCATGTTCTGATGAACTTTCCTATACGTAGACTTTACGAATTTAAGCGCAGTACTAGATTGGCAGCTAGGTTTCACAATTTTACAGTTGAAATGGCTATATATAACCGTAAGTTCTATGCTAACAGTTTCTTCTCTGGAACACTCCGACCTCTTGCTTTCCAGTTAACTTTGATCTTCAAAAATTTAAATGCAATGTCAGTCGTTATGTTCTGTTTTCTTAATTCCTGTTCTTTTATTGTTCTCTCTCCTTAATGTTTTTCTTTTTCTCATAGTCTTTCACACTTAGTAACTCCTTGCGTCTTAGTGGCTTTATTGCCTTGCTTGGGGTTGAAATGATTAAAACAAAAAAAAAAAGGTTCTCTTTTTAGAAATTAAAGTAAATTTCTTTTCTTATTATTACAGAATCCGATGTTTGATTCAACGCAAACGTTTGGCATATTTGCACATCTTCTCCGCCAGGTGGCGTCACTTACAGATCAAGAGCATCATTATCTTGTTCACTGGATCAAAGAGTAAGATACTTAGCATTTATAATTAGTAATATTTGTCATTAATCTATTATTGGTATTCATCTTTGATTCAATATCAGGTTGTTCGACTTAAAAGCGCCGATGTATTTGAACAAACAACGATGAATTTAAAACATTCGTTAACAAATATTTGATCTTTGTATTTTCTGACACGAGGATACTGTTTTTCTTTATCGTTAGATTCACAACGTTTCAACTCCTTCAAGAGACTCAGTTCGCTGAATTGAATTTGAACACACACAATACGACACCCTATAATATGGCTTTAAAAACGGACATTTTTAATAAGTATAAATGAATAGCGGCTTGGATTGAGTTCGAATTCCAGTCCAATCTATTACATTCACATACGTGCTAATACTCTTGGGAAAGGTATGAATCCTCTTCTTCTCCCCCTCTCCAGCTATAAGTAAATAGCAGGACAGACCAGGTTCTATAGCCTTGGATGGCAATTGGTCTACCGGAGAAATAAACGGCAATCTACTGAGGGGAAAAAAATCTGCCTCGTCAGTCATGTATCGAAAGATACATGATCGCCTAAGCGTGTTTTACACATGGCAAACTGACTGACTGATAAATTCACATAATACATACAAACCTATGAAAACATAATACATATAAGTCTATGACAACAGAAGGGAAGAAAAGCCTGGTGGAGTAATGGATAGCAGCTCGGATTGAGAGCCGAGTTCGAATTCCAGTCGAGTCCATTACTTTTACTTACGTGTGCAGGACAACGCCACACCGCCGACTGAATATATTTACTTTATTAAAAGATAATTTTTTTACGATTTACTTCATTAAAAATAATTTTAAAAATATTCACTAATTAAGGTTTTAATCTTTCATAAATTACTTTTATTCGGTTATTAAAAAAAAATGTTTTTCTGGTGCTGAGTTGTCTCGGTCCTGAGTTGTCCCATTACTGGGTTGTCCCGGCACTCAGTCGGCAGTGTTGAGTTGTCCCTTCCGAGTCTAGGTAGCTATCCACAATTCTCTTATGGTGCAGAATCTTACAGACTACTTCATTAATTCCTATAAATGGTCGCTTGGCCTCATGTCGAGCAAACGTAGTGGCCGCGTCACCCGTCAAAAATCTCCAGAATATCCCTCAAACCAATTCTCGTTAACTTGTCCCCGGTGACACTGTACATTATACTTCTTGAATAACCCACCATTGTTGCTATATTTGGAGTCTACGAATGGGCACAAATAGTGATAGAGTAGCGATCACTAATCAATGACGTGTTTAGGTAGACAAAAAGAATCTAACACATGTCACACGGTGCCTTGTTGACAACTGGCGTCCATAGCCTTATATGGTTTGCGTCACAATTGTAACCCTACCATCAACGCCAAACAATTTGAACTGAGACTCACCTCATCGAATCAGGACACATCTAATTGGCATCGTCATATGGTGTGACCGGTATTGTGTTATTGACAGGACCATCCTGGTGGATCTTCTGTTCTTATATCCGACGGAAGCTAAACAACTCTGAACTGACCCGGTGGATTTTTTTTTTTTAAGCATTACGCCCCGAGCAAGGCGTGAAGCAACTAGGATGCAGGGGGTTGCAGAAGATTTGGAGCGAGAGCAGATAGGAGTGATAGAAGAAAGGATGAGGAGAAGGATAGTGGGTAGATCATGGTAACTAGAGATGTCGATTGACATTACATTTGAATAGTTGGAGATTATAGCTCTCAGGGAAACAGTAATTGGGAAGGGTGTTCCACAGGCGAGAGGTGCAAGGTATGAAGCTATTGGAGTAGAAGAGACGGCTACATTTAAAAGTTTCTACAGTGTAAGGGTGAGAGCGGGATGCCAGCCTCGTAGGGCGTTTGAATTCATGGAGTCTGGGAACCAGTGAAAGCAGCTCATCGGAGCAATTACCATGAAAGTATTTGTAGAAAAGACAGAGAGAGGCCACGGCGCGTCTGTGAGAGAGTGACTGTAGACGAGATGCCAGATCAGGGCCAATTATATTACATATCCGTCTCTGGATCTTGTCCAGAACTCCGAAGTAAACAGAAGGTGCCCCAGACCATATATGGCAGCAATACTCCATGCAAGGGCGAATGGTGGATTTGTATATTTGAAGTATCGATTCCGGGGAGAAAATTTTCCTGGCGCGGCACAGAGAGCCAACTTTCCTCACGGTGGAAGAAGCAGTTGACTCAATGTATTTGTTCCATCTCAGGTCAGCAGTCAACGTGAGACCGAACAAACGCAGGGAATTGCCCTCAAGAAGTTGACTATCAGACATTTTAATGGGGGGCTAGGAAGGATCTCTATGGTGATTAATAGAGAGTAGTTTAGTTTTTGAGGCGTTAAAGTTGACCAGCCAATTCTTGCCCCAATTAACAACCGATTGGAAGTTCATTTCAAGACGCACGGCCAGGTTAGTTTTGTCACCGACACTAGATTTGTTTTTGAGGCAGGAGTAAATTGTAGTGACATTGCTACGAAATATGTGAAAGAAGTGATTCCTATGGGCAATGGCGGCTGAGCAAGCAGCGGAGAATCAAGGGGAGGAGTGCGACTTGACCTTAAATTTCCTTGAGGGGATGAAAGCGTCGATTCCAGCTTTAACCCAGGATGAGACCTCAGAAGCACATTCTTGGACAGGGAGTGTAAAGACAACATCCCAGGGGACATCGCGGAGAAAGTCACGGAACAAGTCCCAATCAGCAGGTTGATAATAGAACGAGGTTCTAGTGATAGGAGGTTCTTTGCGGGGTGTGGAGTTGAAGGAAATATTAACAGATACCACGGCATGATCGGAGTTACCAAGAGGGCAAAGCTGCGTGGCGCTACAAGATTCGGGGATGGAGGTAAAACACAGATCGAGAAGGGAGGCCTTACCTACCAGGTTGAGGGCAAAACGCGTGGGGAAGTCGACTGTCTGCGTGAGGGATTGAGAAATTGAGAAATTAAGTGTTTGAATGCCAGCCCGGTTAGTAGTAGCATTCTCGAGCCACTTGGTGTGATAGGCGTTAAAGTCACCAAACACGAATATCTGAGCAAACGGGTGGAGAGAGAGGGCCTTGTCTATGCTGTCAGATATGCTATCGAGTATCCCACAGTCTTGAGAGGATGGAGAGCGATAGAGGAAGAAGAGATAGCTTACGGCATTGAGGAGAGATAGTCGGAGACACATGTACGAATGGTCTGGCGATTCGAGAGACAACTCTCTGTCCAGAGGGAGATGGTCCTTGACATAGACACCAAGGCCGTGTATGTGGGTTAGAGAGTCTTTCCTGAGGAGAGGAAGGTAGCCGGGGATCGAGAGATCAGAGGAGGGAATAGACGAGACAAGGTTTGTCTCACACAGAGCCAGTATATCCGGGCAGTTTGCAGTGAGGAAAGATTCCATACTGCAGAAATTTGTTCTAATGTCACGGATGTTGGAGGACGAAATGTTGAGGGGTTTAGGTGATTTATGAGTGGCTGGTTTAGGTTTACTTTTTTTGTTCATTTGAGTCTTCATGTGGAGTAATTGTTGGAAGATGAGAAGGCCTGAAGTAAGAGAAGGAGATGGTTTTCGACCGCAACATGAGCAGAGAGGAGTTGGCACAGCCTGCATCATAATGTGGCCCCAGGGTTGCCCACCGGAGGTGACTGCAGGGACACCTTTCCATGCGCGTCATGGCACTACAAAACCCCCGGTATTATACAACTGTTGATCAGAGCGGCCGCTCAAGACGCTACGCAAGAGTTAGGGCTCCTAACTACCAGTCGGAAACAGCAACCAGTGAACTGTCAACCGTGTGGCCTCAAAATGAAGAGGCAATGCCACACGTCACGGGAGAAACACATCAGCACTAGTACAGAGGCCAGAGAGATAGTACCGGGAACCCCTTCTTAGACAAAAAACAAGGTGTGAGCCTCTGCTCATGTCCAGTGTTAACCAAATGGCCCTGATCACGATAATTAAGGACTCGTAGTCGTCCACTGCGCTGTCCACTGTGAGTAGCAATAACTCCCATTAGGATACACAGAGCCAGAGCGTACTATCCCAGATCCCCCGACTGGAGTGGGGGGGCGTCTAAGGGGGCCTCGGCAGTGCTTTGTGACTCTAGCTATCTTATCAACATTTGCTTTTTTTTCTGCCTATATTTATATACGTTACAAGTTAAACAAAGCACAACTGACTGTTAAAGGATGTGAAGTTTTCCCCTGATTTTCACGTCATTCTGGTTTTATTTTCGTCCAAACAGGTGAAGCTGTTTTGTTCATGCTACGTGTCGAAAAATACTATATAAAAGTCACCATCTTTTATCCGTAATGTTGAATTTGATAATATTGTTCGACAAGAAAAATCTTTCAAGTCGATGTTAAATATTGCCGCAAAACATTATCGATTTATTTAAGATGAAATAATATATTATGACATGTCTCTAATTTGTATTTAGATACATTGTATTTATTTTCTTTATTTCAGATGAAATAATATATTATGACATATCTCTAATTTATATTTAGAGACATTGTATTTATTTTCAATTTTTCTAGTTGAATTCTTCATCTATATTGCATACGATCCATTATTGTACATAATTAGCTTACAATAAAATTTGTATTTTATATGAATTTTTACCTTATAAAAATTGAGATGTACTAGACTGATAGATTCTGATGAATGTGTATCAAAATTCGGGGTTGGGGTGCAGTGATTTTACTCTTGGTGAGTGGCAAAACCCATAAATTAAAAACAGTTTCTAAGATTTCACCATCAAGCAAGGCAATAAAGCCACTAAGACGCAACGGAGGGGTTACTGAGTGTGAAAGAATCTGAAAAAGAGAGGAAGAAAAAGAAACATTATTAAGGAGAGAGAACAATAACAGAATAGAATTCAAAGTAACATACGATAATGATTGACATTGCATTTAAATTTTAGATGATCGAACTTGACCGAAGCCGGAAGAGGGTTCCCCAAGTGTGAAATGCCTGAGAAGAAACTGTTAGCATAGAACTTGCGGTTAAATCTAGCCATTTCAGCTGTAAAAGGATGAGACCTATCTACCAATCTAGTACTGCGTTTAAATTCATTAAATTAAATTAAACTAAGCACAACCCTCTATTAAAATTTTCGCGGATTCTGATGTCATTCTGTTTTTTGTTTTGTTGTTGTTGTTGTTTTTTCTTGTCCAAATACATGAATTTGTTTTGTTCATGCTAAGTCTCGGAAAACACTATATAAAAGTCATTATTTTTTTTATCTATAATGTTGAATTTGTTAATATTGTTCAACAAGAAATATCTCTCAAGTTGATTTTAAAAAAATGCCGCAAAACATTGTGGATTTATTTAAGATGAAATAATATATTGTGACATGTCTCTAATTTGTATTTAGATACATTGTATTTATTTTCATTTTTTTTTCTAGTTGAATTGTTCAGCTATGTCTCTCTTTTCTCATATTCTCTAATACTCAGCAACCTCTTACGTCCTAGCGGCTTTATTGCCTTGCTTGGAGTGAAATCATAAAAATTGTCTTGCATATGTTCATTATTGTACATGATTAGGTTACAATAAAATTTGTATTTTATATGAATACTACCTTATGAAAATTGAGATGTAGTAGAGTGGGGTGCCCCCGTATATTAGATTCGGAGGGGGCACGAGACACTATAGATCGAGAATGTCAAGTGACCCCGAATTTCAGAAACGGAATGAGCTATCTGGTACCCACTATCATGTCCCGTTCGAACTCAGATAATTCACGTCACATTACCATGAACAGCCTGGCTAGTGTTCGCAATAACTCACAAGATTTCCATGGCGACAAAGTTTAGTGGCGCCATCTACCGTTACCTGTACATACTGCTATTCCAATACATTTGGCATATCAGTGTATCAACTTTGTTTCCACAGATGTTGTAACTACCATTTTCATTTATTCACAGAAACGGGTTCGTAACAATATTCTCGGCTGTTTTTTTTTCACACGGATGCGATGCTGTTATCCAAGCATTTTAAACGCGTACCGCAACTCGTTCTGGATAAGGCCCCGAAACGACGAGTTGCTCTCAGGTGGCGCGTGTAGATAACTAGTTACTTTGCTAGCATGCACGCACAAGCTGTTTAAGTTGTTCCAGTAATACTAGGAGAACCTAAACGGCTTGTGAGTGTTAATCGGTTTGTACATCAAAAATATTCATTTTTGTTTATTTTTGTTTTTTTCCATTATCTAGACTGCAGTCAACGGAATTTAAATCGATTATTAATAGATTAAATTCATTTATCACGTGGAAAATGTTCCCAAATCGGCCACAGGATCTTCCACACCCATCCAAATGCACCTGGTGGGTACCCAGCGCCGTAAAAGTGATGGCATTATTTAGTACGTATTATTATTATTATTATTATTATTATTATTATTATTATTATTGATTTCTAGTGTATACTCATTTTTCCGGGTCCCGACCAGAGACCTAAGGTCTGAAATGGCGTCTTGACATTTTCCACTAAACAGTTTCGAAAAAAAAAATCACACATATTTTATATAGTTAAAGCTCTTATTAAGATGTCGGCTGTACTTGTGAAAACATTTTTTTGTATTTCTTTAAGGCATGGGCTTCCAGGAATCCCTTCAATTAGTCTACTGGAATCTTTTCCGTTTAATCCGAGTGCTCCAACTACAACTGTAATTGTTGATATCCTCATCTGCCACATTTTTGAGATTTCGATTTTTCCTTGTATTTTGATAGTTTTTTTGTTTTGTTTTGAAGATCTTCAAATATACATTATGTTATGGTCCGGTTCCTTGTACCACGGTGATAGTCCAAGGTAGAACCAATAAAGATGAACTCGATATGGAAAAACACAGATATATTACAAACAGGAATATATACAGAGAAGTAGAAAGTGTTACTAGGAACAATCAGGATAAGTAGTAATTGTCTGAAAGCGACTCTGTTTCGGACTGCCTCTGACTCGACTGACTGACTCGCTCGCTCTGACTGACTGACAGACTCCTGACAGACTTCAGACTGAATTCCTGACTTCAGACAGAACGGTATTCAGTCAAAGGGCATCATGTGGCACAAGGCCGGTTTAACGTGGGATCACCGAGCCCTTGGACCCGGCCAAAAATATGCCCTTTGAACCCGTATAAACGGGTTCAGGGTCGGTTTACCTCCCCTAAAGAGACTCCGCCCTTCGGCGTAGCCTCGTTCGGGTTCCTCCCCGCCCGAAGGCAGAGAGTTCAACCGATCAGCCGGTCGCCCGACTTCAGACTGAACTCCCTGCTTCCTCTTGAGGCGCAGTATTTATTACGTATGGAATAGTCCATTATGTTATTATGGGTAAGGTCCCATAACACATTGCAGTCGGCAGGGACCGCCATGTTAATAAGAAGGCACATTTTATAATTGTCGTCTGTAATCACAATGTCTAGGCGATTAGCTTTGATTGTTTTGTCTGTGTGTATTGTAAAGACCCATAAAATTGTTATAGGTCCTATCTCTGTAAACGGGTCTGGGTGGTGCTCATGCCAATTTCTTGCAGTTGCTTTTCCGTAAAAGTTGCAGATTTTCCAGTGCAGATATTGGCCCACTCTGTCATGCTGAGCTTTATATTCATTTGCTTCTAACATTGTGCAGCTTGATACAATTATAATGATATAAAATTGGTCAATTGTTTCTGGATATTTATTACAAAATCTGAATTAATTTTCCTGTTTGTTTATCGATCCTACCACTTATCGATCACTCTCTCAGTGTATAGTTTATAAAAGTGCAAGTCTGTTAAATCAATTAAATCAATCATATATATATATATATATATATATATATATATATATATATATATATATATATGAACGCACTAATACCTAATATATATATATATATATATATATATATATATATATATATATATATATATATATAAATATAAAATCTTTAATATTACATTCAAATATTACCCCATATTAACTTAACTAAAATTTAAGTAAAGAGATTATCTATCTAGAAACAGTCACGAGTTAAATTCATGAACAAAATTCAAACGGATAGAGATATCAACTTCATAATCAACAATAAAATTTTTAAAAGAGATTAAAAAAGAGATTACTAGCAGTAAACTTGTATTTTAAAATAAAATTTTATTCTTTTAATGTACTTTCTATGAATATTTTTCTAATCGACTATTTCATAGAAAATACCCTAAATTTAAAAAAAAATTTTAAATCACCAACAAACATTAAATTATTTGTAGACAGTTTAGGGACATTCAAATTTATATCAAACATTATAATCTTTATGAACCCCCAAAATAACACTTTCAAAATAAAACAAAATAACAGCGTCTATTTCTAGCCTTTTTTTTACAAAGAAAATTAGTGACACCTTCTCTCATAACTTCCTTCTCTCTTTTTCTCTATGGGTTTTTTCTTCTCTACGCCTTCGATATCAATATATAACTTCCGTTAAGTTAATCGTTTAAATGTGTCAATATCTGCTAACTCACTCATGTCTTCTCTCCCCCCCTCACTTCCTCACTTCATTAATTTACATATGTTTAATACGGCCCGTCAAAAATGTGTAAATTTTCTTTTCACTTTTTGTTTGGAAGTAAAGTCTGATGATCCGCAGTCCTTTTAAAAGGGCTGTGGTGAAATAATTTATTACATGGAACCTTAAAGTGGTCTGTTTTTATTTAAATTATTTGCTCTGGATTTACATTGAGCTCTCTGGATTTTATCCTCCTTAGGTTTACCCATACTGGTAATGACTTTTTCATAAACTATATATATATATATATATATATATATATATATATATATATATAATTAAGTAATTCATCGAGTCTGAAACCTCAACAGAATGCAGAAAGCACTGGATGGCCGTTTCGTCCTATGTTTGGGACTCATCAGCAGTGCGCATCCACTACCGAGAATATATATATATATATATATATATATATATATATATATATATATATACATATACATATATATATGACAATATATAGAAAATAGGAAGGAACTTGTTAGGTAAATAATCCAAAGTTCCTTAGTATTTTAGTTATTATTTTAAAAAAATAGTGCTCGATACAAAAGTAGAGCATAAATATAATTATTTATTTAAAAATATGATTCCAACTCGCGACATAAGAGGTCTCATGTTTCAAAACAAGAGCCGAAAACTTCCATATAATTATTTGAATTAAATTGAGTTAAAGTAAGCTCTGTTCCATCTTCAAGCGAAATATTTTTGGGAATCTATATATATATATATATATATATATATATATATATATATATGTGTGTGTGTGTGTGTGTGTGTGTGTGTGTGTGTGTATTTAGGCATCAATCCTTCTTTCATGCACATTTCATTGAATACGACAGATAAGGTGCTTTTATTTAGTTTTTTATACAATTTCTCATGCGATCTAATAATTTTTCCTTTTCGAATGATAAATTATATGAAAACTGTCCGAATGTTCTTTTTATCCGAGCGCTTTCGGCTATACATTTAGCCATTTTCAAAGATATTTTAACTGTTAAATGAGAAATAGTTTTTGAATGTATGTCTTATAAAAGACATTATGTCCATGTCCAAACTTAATATTATTAAGTGTTGTTTTTTTTTGTTGTTGCTATTATTAATCAGGCTTCCATTATTTTTAGCCTTTTTTGCATGTAGATGATGCTATTGTATTAGTGTTGTCAACAAGTATGTTACAAATAGTGTCCGGTAGGTCCCCATGAATATTTTAATGAGATCTAATTGCGCTATGGTCAGAAAGGTGTAGAGTGAGTCTGCGTGTCAAACATAAATAAAACTAAATAAAAGCACTAAATAAAATGTCCGAGAAATGTTCATAGAAAATATTCGTCCTCCGACATTCAGGCCGGTAAATGTTGTTTAATACTGTTTATTATAAAACAGAGCATTTACTTAAATATTTGTATCTATAAAAAGAATGCATAAACATAAAATATCTTAAAATAATAGTCGGACTTTGTCCATTTCATAATATATATATATATATGATGGATTCTTCTGTCGATTTCGACGTATGAGGTTCCGACAACTTTTTAATGACCTTTATGTTTGAATCTAGAGTGACATTTCAGACCCGCTAATGATTTGCAAAGAAAGCCACAGATTGGGCAAGCGTGTGAGCAAAAAGGGTGCACTTCTCTGGCACCTTCTGAGGCTTTTTTCCTTTCTCTTGCTTCACGGAGCTTGACAACGCTTGCCGCCGAAAAATTCCTGATTCCAGTGTAAGTTACACTTTTCCAAGCTTTGCGATCCAGTATTCTCCAAATCAGTGTGTATATATATATATATATATATATATATATATATATATATATATATATATATATATATAAAGTCATCCACAGACTGACTGTTTCGCTGTTTCACAGCTCTTCAGTGTGCTAGACATCCTCTATCTAGGATCGAAACCCGACAATTGGTATCAGTCGGAGATTCTACATACATACATATTACAACAGTATCTGTAATTTATTTAATCATATATATATATATATATATATATATATATATATATATATATATATATATATATCATACGATCGACACGATAATATTGTTAAGGAAAACTGTCATTTTTTTATTGAATGTTGGTGCATGTTTATAATTGTTTCTTGTATATAAAAAAGTTTCTAAAGATCTTTGAGTTCAACATTCTTCATGACGTTTCATCGGGGAAAAACTTTTTTATTTTACAACAAATTACGATTCATCTTCAAGAGTTATCTACCCTTGATAATAATGCCCCGGTAATTTGGAATCCCATGTAAAAGCGATTATATTAAGTTTCAGGCAATGTTTAACATTTGTGCTCGCAAAAAAAAAAACAAAACAACAACCTGTCAAAGAGACGATTATTCCCTTGACACCGCTATTACTGGTTACACTCTTGACTCCTTCGGCAATGTTTATCTACAAGATTATGAAAATATGTGATCCAAATACAATGCGATATTTATTATTTACTCGTATAAAGATTTATTATTTACCATTTTAGATATAAATACATTTAAAAATTTATTAAGAAACCATTACAAAATTATCAAAATATATAAGGGGAAGAGATGGCCTCAAACTATTTTAGTGAATTTATGTGGCGAGAGCAAATAAAAAAATGCATTTTTACAAAATTTCTAATTACAGGTCCTCGTCGTTATGCGCTTATTTAAATTTCTTGTTCACAGATAGTTGTAGTATACATACGGACGATAATGGGTATGTACCCATTCACATAAATACAGTAGTAAATACTGTATGTTGGTCTGCAGTTAAAGATTCATTGTGGAATTCACTTGACTCACTTCTAGGAGGTAACTTCTACGCGCCACTGGCGAATCTTACATGTGTTGTTCTTGTCCTAGGTATTATTGTTCATTACGAACTTCGGTTGATTATTCTATTCAGTAACTGTTGTAGAGTAGTTTTCACAGTGGAGGCTTGTATTTCAATAAGTCGTCCTAAATTAGATGCGACGTACAAAAGGTTAGAAACATTGAAATAAGAGTTAATGACGCATCAATCTAGTTGTGATGGTTGGTACTTAAATGTCCGATATCGACTGACTCGCTCAACACCACTGAGCCCAACTCGCTACTGCTACTACTACTTATTATCTGTGGGAGAGTCTATTACAATAGAATAGGTATTATGGTATAACAGTAACCTTCCTTGGGTTACAACACTGACTTTTTTTTATAAATATATGAATAAAAAATTTCTTTTTATGTATTAGTTTATAAAATGCTAAATAATATATATTTCAGTATAGTTGGTTCACATATTTTTATAATCTTGTAAATATAAAATTATTCTTACAAATAAGCAATCTAATAAATAAATAGTGTTTAACATCTTTGATGTCAGTTCTCAATAATAAGGAATATGTATAAATCCACCTTCATATGTTTGGGTTTTATCAAAATTCTAATCACTTTTTAAAACAATAAACATTGCCGATAGAGTTAAAAGTATATACAGTAATAGCGGTGTTAAGGGAATGACCGCTTTTTTTTTCGGGCGTAAAAATTAAATATTGCCGAGTTTAAAATCAGTGTTGTTTTTCTCTTTCTTGTTTCTTGCGTGTGAGGTTTGTTGAGCGATTTTGCAGTGTCAGCCAAATGCAGTCGCGACGCAAAAAAACTAATTTCGCTTTGTATTTAACCTCAGATGCTGCGAATAATTTGGTTCGACCACATATTGTCCCATTCGAAGACTTTTATAACAACTCATTGGAGCGTTGTGATTTGCTTTCTGAATATTATAAATGGCAAAACGTATATTCTCATGGCGGGTACGTATACGACGAAATATTATTGATGTGTATCGAAAGTATTTTCCTTTTTTTTTTATCATGGGACCTCTCAAGAGCTCATGTATTTTTCTTAAACTCGCGTAATATATGGTATCTTTTGATCATGCAAGCTCTTCTGAAAGTTTTTTTTTTTCAGTGGTAGTGCTCGGGTTTTTCTCCGCATTGAGTTTTAAAGCGTAATAACTGAAAACCGAAAGTCGATTTCAAGGGAAGAGTCATCTCCCTTAAAAGACATAAACCAGTGTTGGGCTGTACGGTGAGACCAGTGTCATGCCCAGCCTTTCGTAGAATTTGCTGCCAATCTAAACAGCATTCCCAAACTGGACAGCATGTACGAAATTTAAAGAAAATTACTGCCATTTATTTTGTTTTGAAAAATGTAACAACGAAATAAAGAGATGGTAAAGCATATTTAAATGCGTTCGTGCACTTGTGTAGTCGCATCAGCTTAAAGATGAACTTTTATCTATTTACATGTTTATTTTATATCATTTTTCCCTGAGTCTGATGACGTCCTAAAGAACGAAACGCGTCACACGAAAAACTTTTCCCACATTTTCATAGATCTTACCCTCCAAATTTTTATTGAGATATAAAATTTATATATCGTTAACCATATATATATATATATATATATATATATATATATATATATATATATATATATATAAAGATTTCTCAGAATTAACCTGCAGAAAAAGACAATATGTATTAAGGAAAAAGACAATAGGAAAACTGTTGTTTTAGCCGACGCGTTTAGGCCAGTGTGGACTTTTTCAAGGCAAAAAAAAAAAACAAACAAAAACAATATGGATATAATCAGATTCTCAAAGACCCATAACAATAATATTCCTGAAGCAGGAATATATAAAATTAGCTGTCAAAACTGTTCCTCACAATACATTGGAGAAACATGCAGAAACCAAAAAAAAAAAAAAAAAAAAAAAAAAACGCATCTATGAGCACAAAAGAGGCTTCATAAATAACAATTTAACACATACACTAGTCATGCGCAGTAATAAATTCAACCACATTTTTGATTTTATAAATGCTACACTCATAAAAAAAGAAAATAATTCACTCAGCAGAAAAATCCTCGAGAGTGCCGCCATTGTATATTATGCAAATATTAATCTACGGCCCGTTTTTTCCACATATCACCTTTCCTAACAGAATCATTAACCCTCCCAAGCCACTGTACACAACAAATATATGAAGAAATCAAAAGAAAACGCTTGAATCTGTCAACACAACAATACAAACATTATTTCTACACGTGAAAATAGTCTCTTCAAAAATATTAAATTCTTCTAGTTGCTGCTAACGACATTTTGTTTGTTGCTTATAGATACTCTGTTTCAATAAATTCATTTCGATTTTTTGGGGACGAAACGCGTCGGTTAAAACAACAACTTTCTTATTGTCTTTTTCTTTCACACACACACACACACACACACACACACACACACACACACACACACACACACGTTATTTAAACGTTATTTTTGATGGATAATCATATTTGATTAGTTTTTTTTTAAAAACAGTATTTTTATACAACCTCATCTACCGGCCTGATTATTCGTGAAAACTTGTCAGAAAAGTAGGCGTCCTCCAACAGTGTGTAACCGTCATTGGATCTGATGTGCCTAACAGCTCGGCCACGTAGGACTTACGGTCAGATAAAGCCTGAAAAATGCTATTGAACATACACTCTCTGCCGATTCTCGAAACATCCATATCTGCTCTGAAACGGTATGCTGTACTGCTTGTCATTCGCACCGGAAGCTCCAATACGAAGATTTCAGAGTGTTTGTGTGTAAATCTTAGGACAGTACAGAAGACTTGGTAAGAGTTGGATGAATCTATCTCGAAAAACTCACTCGGTTTATTCTGATAAGAAAAGAGCTCTTGAATTTGTTGGTAAGGGTCCCAAATTCAACACGGAGGCCTACATCAAGTGCCATGAGGATGTAGCACTGCGCTGGGTCAAAAGGGTGGCTGCAGGAAGATCCTATGTCTAGTAACAGGACTCTGCACCATGCCACACAAGCAGAAGAACCCAGTCATGGCTGTCAGACAATTTCTGCGACCACATCATCCCTTACATCTGGCCACCTAACTCCCCAGACTGCAACCCCTTGATTATTATGTGTGGGGCGCAGTTGAGAGAGAGGCCAACAAAAGTCCTTATAACACCAAAGATGAACTGAAGGCAAGGATTACGATAGCATTCACCAAATAGGAGACCGTCCAGAAGAGTTTCTGGAGATCCTGAAGTCGTCTGGTAGCCGTGGTTGAAGCTAATGTCGATTTTATTGAATAAATCTACTTTTTATTATTTCAAGATATTATTTTGTAAATTTGGTAAATATATCTGTTAAAAAGATACATTATCAAATAAACTGAGCATAAAAGTAATAAAACCATTTCTATCTTATATATTAGAGGCATAACTTCATAATAAATTGCCTATTCGAAGAATAATTCCATGTCAATGAAATCAACTTGTATCCATGCAAGCTCAGCTGAGAAAATGTAAACATTGGTATGATTGCGTTCACAGCAATGGAATGTATTAATATCGTATATTATCGTACTGCTATAAGTGATATTATGTGATTGTTGTTGAAGTATAAGTAAATGGCTATTAATACACCAGGCTGTTTGTAACTGTTGATATATAGGAAAAGAAGAGGACGAAGAAGAATCATTATTCGCAAGAGATCACGTGTTGAAACGTAAGCAAAATAATGGTTCCTCTTTTAGAAGACATATGTAGGTAAAATGGTATAGAACCGGTTTTGATATTTTGTTGATTTTGAGTTTCTAAGGATCCAGTAAGTAACATTTCCATTAACATCATCTTTCTATAATCAATAAGCAGTCGTCCTATACTACAGGTATAGAATAAATTCATGAAAATTTGCTGTATTTTTTTACCTCGTCTTATCTAAAGGTCACCTTATACTCGGAAATATATGGTATATATATATATATATATATATATATATATATATATATATATATATATATATAAACCTAAACCTAAAGAGCCAGACAAACCTACCTAGCCAGCATTCCCTGAGGATCCGCGTAGGTGAAACCTTGGTAGGTTTGTCTGGCTCTTTAGGCTTAATTAGGTTGGCTCTACTTAGCGTATTGAGCACTTTACTTAGTTATTTTACTTACTCGTATCGGGGTTTTTTCTTTGGATTCTGAACTTGGATGCTAGACGATTATCTTCGGCTGATGTACATGTTCTTTGTTCTTTCTTTTTGTACCTTTTTTCCCCCTTTGGTATTGGTTTGTTTATTTACAAATCAAGGCACCTAAGGTTTTCGGACGAGTATAATTTTTATATGTATAACATCATTACTATTATATATATATATATATATATATATATATATATATATATATATATATATATATATAATCTGTTTTCTATTTTCTTACAGTTTTTCTTTTTGCCAGTATCCGTTCATTTTGAGTATTGGCGCCAAGCGTAGCATTTTACAGCGAGATTCTGAACAGCAGATGATCGTGATGGCAAGGGTATGTATCTTTTCCATCATATAAACGTCTCTAAACTATTATAATTTAATTCTGCCGTTGAAGGTATAACGAAAAGAATCTAAAATTACAAACCGACCTGACAATGAACCCTTAGTAGGTGCTTTCATAAAACAATCAGAGCTCATTTTCGATATCTCTGCACGTACCAAACAGCGGGTGATTATCACTTTCCAAACTTCTTTTAATATTTTTATATCTTGAAATACTATGATAGATCTTTCTGTGACTGTAATTTTATACTATTTAATCCATAGACGGGGAGATTTATGTCTTTCCCAATTCAGAACAAACTGTCTCAGTCGGAATTTGGTAGTCTATCTATGAACATACACTACGGCACTTAGTCCTTTACCAACTAGATAACTTCATCCCATGCTGTTTTTCAAGTCACATTTATGGCGGTGGGGAGTGCCAGGTGTAAGCCCAACGAAGGAATGTGATGTAATGGAATAACCCGGCACCCCCATGAATGATTACACTATAGGTAGTAAGTACCTATAAAGTCGACCGTCTACGTCCCACCTTCCAACTAGTGACACTCACTACTAGATTGACCTGTATGTATAACTGTACCGTATTTCATATTGCACTTGTTGTGTACAATAAACCTTTCTTCGTGTATCCACCTGGTGTTTAGTATTTATTCCAAGGGTCGGCAACCTACGACCTGCGGGTCGGATCCGGCCCTCGAAGTCATTTTGACCGGCCCGCGAGCCTGATTACCAATTACTCTAATTTTAACATGAGAGATGAGGCTTTCGAATTAGACTATCTGCCAGTTATCTTTCATGAGACTTATTTTACCAAGTTGCATTGCCTACGTTTAATGTCAAACAATGGATACATATTTGTTATGACCCTTGACTACATTAAAAGATAACAGAAGCGAAAGGAACGATAAAGTGAAAGAGGCCAGGGAGGGACTGACATGCGAGGTAGCAGAAATCTAAAGACAGTTAAACATACGCGCCTTATACATACATGCTTCATGAATGTGTGGATGATACCGCATGTGTACGTACGTAAGTGTATATGTTTGCAACTATTTGTACTCGTATGTATGGGTATATGTGCTTCGTTTTTTTTTTGTTTGTTTGTGTGTGTGTGTGTGTGTGTGTGTGTGTGTGTGTGTGTGTGTGTGTGTGTGTGTGTGGTTCGTTTGTGGAACAATTTTCAATAACAGTTTCAAACCTACACGTCATAATTTCATCCACTTTCACTTCGGTTGATTTTTTTCACTTTGAAGTATTTTGATGTTCCTTGAGGAAAAGTAATTTTTGTTAGTTTTTTTTTTTTTTAATTTTAGATTTTCTTTTGTTTTTCTGATTTCTCAATGTTTATTTTCATTATGGTTTTAAATATTTAGGTTGACAGGGGTCTGCATATGTGATTTTCCTTAATTTTTCATTGATGGCCTTCGTCCGGCCCGCGACCCGTCATTATAACACGATCCGGCCCGCGGGGTCGAATGAGTTGCCGACCACTGATTTATTCCCTTAGCACGGAATATAACAAAATGGAAATTGAAATAATGCCACAGCGAGTAAAGAAAACAGGAATCATGTTTCCTATATACTGAGTTCTTTACTCACAGACTCACCTGGTACTGTTTGTAAATAGGCAAGTGATGCGGGGGAATATCTTCGCGGCTACTAACGGGACCGGACCATCCCTTCGGCCAGCGAGAATTTCAGCTGCTTCCGACTCTACATCTCTCTGTTTCTCGTCATTCTGGCTGTCTGTTCTTTCCCTGAGTATACGCGTCCATGTCATACGCATGCGTAATCGCGAAGAAAAAAGAAATTATCATGAGCTTAATCACAAGAACGTTGCTCGAGAAAGAAAGAAACGTGTTTCCCTGGAAATTGAATAAAGTGTTCCGCCAGAAACGTCACGAACGTTACCGGATGTAACACAGAGACATGACAGACGAAAACAGATACGTCAATGGTCAAGCAAGTCTGTTCAACGATCTAAAAACTGCCATTATTGACCATTATTTTTTTTTATTTTCTTTCTTTTCTTTTCATTTTTTTTTTTTTTTCTTTTTTCTTTTTTTCATGTCGACACGCTCTGCTTAAAACCCCTTCTCGTGTTCCAGGGGCTTTCATAAAACCCGGATACAGCACGAACAGACAGACAAAAATCCAATGATTGTCAAAAAGTCATTAATCATTTCTCAACCACAATGCCCACCAAGGTGTCTGTAGAACGGAGTAAATAGATTCTCTTAACTTGGGTGGCAATCAATCTTAGCGAACTTTGTATTCAAAAACCGCAAAGAAAGAATCAAAAAACTATTCTTATTCTAGCATAATACCCATAAAAAATCTGTGTATTATTTACGCATGGATTGGTATTACTATATTACTTTTTTACGCCAAAATTCTATCGGAGTTACAATGTATCATAATGTGCTGGAGCCCACATAAATTCTGTTGAATGTTGGTTGGTTGATTTTGATATAGAGGGCCTCAAGAATTTAAATTTTTGCTTATTATTTTCGTGGTGTAATATATTGGTGCTGTCAACAAGTATTTTCCTGCGTTGTGAAGGTGGACAGAAAAAACTTATTACAAGTGTAGAAGCAACATACTGAAGAGCATATAACAAACATTTAATACCATTTTGAATTTCTACCAATTTCCAGTCAGCACCCTTACACTGAAAATTATGTTTTGCAAAAAAATATCCATAATTACAACAGATAACTCAAATTTGAAAAAAAAAAGAAAAAAAAAACTATAACAGAGCAAATTAGCACGTGTTTCCTTTTTAAAAAAAAAAAAAAATCACTAACACAACGAAATGCAGATTTTATCGCAGTTACAATAAGTTTGTCTTTGTAATTTACCCCTGAAGATGATCTTAGAAAAGGTCGAATGTACTTGGTTAGAAAAAAAAAAACCTACGGTGTCTTCCTTAATGAATTTCATCTTAACATAAAGAAACTGATTAGACAACTGGAAAGGATCAGTAGAAAAATAAATAAACACAATTTGTCTATATTATCCTATGAAACATGTTTGAATGAAAACATGACTGATATATATATATATAATATTAGTGGTAAATATACATACATATGCTGAAAAAAAAAATATATAAATACCCATACATGTATATTTCTTGAATAAAAAATTCAAGAGGACCATGGAATATTAGTGTTTAAGCCTTTTTTATTATATATATATATATATATATATATATATATATATATATATATATATATATATATATATATATTTCAATTAAAAAGGTGCAATTATAATTTATAAATTCATGAATCATTCATACAAAAAACAAATATAGAGGTTAATGATTTAAATGGCGAGAGTACATCTTCGCAACAATATAAAAAAGATACACCAACCCCGAACCTGTATATGAATATGATACCGAGAAGTAAAAACAAGAACAAAATCTATTTCCATACCTGAGGATGTCTGTAGGAACAGACGAAAGCTTGTAAAAAAGCTAGGGTTTAACTAAAAAAGAATTTATTCTAATAAGTATTAAATTATATAAAATTTGAAATTAAAAATAAAAAATTACCCATTTTAAAATCTAAATTTAATCTATTAAGTTTAAAATTATGAAATGACTGGGGAAAAAAGAAAAGATACATATGTTATTCAATTTATTTTGTTTTGTTTTTATTGAAATAACGTTGGAATAAACGTTAAGATCGACTGCTCTTAACTTAATGGCAACATGGATACATTTGAATTCAATGTGTAGGGATGGGATGATGATATCTTGCGAAAGACAATACATACACACTCAGATTATAATACATAAGCACGCAGACATATTTAGATATATATACACACACAAAAAAAGTGACGAGACAGGAAACATCACTACGGCCCTTTACAAAAAACAAAATAAAAAAACACACACACACACATACATACACAATTAAATGTGCATGCAAGTTACTATACACATAGAAACCGATAAATACACGAACATACACCCACATACGTTGACCTAGACAGTCCGATACAACAACTAAGAAATATTCAAGAATTGTTACATACAGACAAAACAATCACAAAGAAGCATTTTTGTTTAGATGCGGGTGTATCTGTACGGGTGAGGGACGTGGTAGAGAGCTCTCTCTTTTGAATAAATCCTGTGAACATTTGGCCTTTATCTATTTTGATTGTTAAAACCCGATATGCCTTAAATTTTCATCCTCAACACTTTAGAAACATTTCAGACCCTTTTAAAAACATTTTTGTATTGGTGACCACACACTTAGCGTCAATTTTCTTTTATACGTACACTAACCGTTTTTAATTACGCATAGAGCGATACAGCCATTGAAAATACTGTTTAAAATATGTGTAATAAGACATAAAATATATAGGTTAAAACATTTTCTACAAACAGAACTGTGATGATGCCTACCCCAGACTTAGCATAAGCCACTTTTAAGTCGCAGCCCCTAACAAAGAACAAAGCCCACGCCCTACGCATGTTCTTGCGTTTGTTTTTTTTACAATGAAGGTGTACAATTCTGCCAATTTTTAGCATAAAAATGGACTGTTATATGTTTTAAGTCACTTAAATAACAGGAAAATAATACAAGAATATTTTAAATAAAGTCGCAGCCCCTAACAAAGAACAAAGCCCACGCCCTTCATGTTCTTGCGTTTGTTTTTTTACAATGAAGGTGTACAATTCTGCCAATTTTTAGCATAAAAATAGACTGTTATATGTTTTAAGTCACTTAAATAACATGAAAATAATACAAGAATATTTTAAATATGTTCTATCAAAAAAAAATAAAAAAAAATAAATAAATAAAAAATACGCGAATCGAGGGAGTTCTCAATGAATAATTTGTACATATGTTCTTCAGAAAAACACGTGGATATTCGGGGTTTCCGCGAATAACAATTACATATGTTCTTCAGAAAAAGTTTTGAAATTAATGTGAAAGCCGTTAATGCAGAAACGCGAATATATATATATAGGCGAGTCTCACTATATATATATATATATATATGTTTGCTATATTTATAGAGTGCTCAGTATTGGAAACAGTGCGTTTATAGACACTCTCTCCTTCCAACTATCTAACCACTCAATTTAAACAAATGAAAGTCATGAACACAAATAAACATCAACGTCAACGCTAAAAGGGAGTAACTGGAGATGGCATCTTTCCCCTTTTCTTCTAAACTCCATTCTGGTCCGCTAATAAGTAAAAACACTTGGTCTTATGATCGTAGAGAACACCGTGCTTCTCAAATGTTTCTACTACTTAGCCACAGTCAGTACACAGTGTTGATTCCTATGTCCACTCTCTCTCTCTCTCTCTCTTTCCTTCTCTCTCTCTTCTCTCTCTCTCTCTCTCTCTCTCTCTACATATATATATATATATATATATATATATATATATATATATATACCTAGCAGTAGAGCCCAGAGTTGCCCGGGGATGTAACAGTAAGAGATAGATCAAGTATCGACCATCATAAAGACTGAAAAATAAAATTGACAAAGATTATTGTTTAAGGTTTACGGACATGCATGTGTTAATTAGTTTTTTTTTTTTGTTTTTTTTTTTGTTTTTTTACGAATTGGTCAAACCCAAACTCAAACAAAAACATTGTTTTCAATCGTTATGAGTCTACCGATTGAATAGAATTTTTTTTATAAACAATTGTCTTGTAAATGGAATTTTTAAAGCATTCTGAATGTAAAAATAAAAAGAAAAAGTGTGCAAGACAATAAGAAACACTACCTGCCAAAAAAAAAAGTGAAGTTTTGTTTAAATCAGTTGAAAAATGTAGGAAACCGATCCCATATATAAACGAACACACACACACACACACACACACACACACACACACACACACACACACACACACAACCTGGGTTTTATAATAAGTATAACTAAATAAGTTGTCCCCCTTTCATTCTCACGACAGCGATGCCTCTTAATCGTTTTTCAAATTGATTTCGTGAAAAAACAATTGTGTGTTTTTGCAATTTTAACGCTATCAGAACCACCGCAAGGTAATTTTACGTAGTCCTGTGAAGTTTTTGTTGAAATCACGTTTGAAAAAAAAGGAAATCCGATCCAATATATAAACGTACAGACACACACACACACACACACAGTTTCACACACACAATCTGCGTTTTATAATAAGTAAGATATATATATGGAGAGAGAAGGGGAGATAGAGAGTGTGGTCGACTACTTACTCATTTCCACATATCAGAAATGAGCATATCCTCTCAATTATGAGGGAGTGATTTAAAAGAAAGGCTAAGGGTTAGTAAGAATGCGAGAGGAAGACGAAAAGAAAAACAGCTAAAAAGAAAAGGGGGAAGAGACAGAAACGAAAGAAAGACATCGGATTGCTGTCTTGAGTTTTATCACTCCTTTATCCCTTTGAATCTTTCAGTGGGTGAAGTTTTTGTCATACGCACTTGACGCCGTAAAAAGAGTTGGTTATATACAATGGTAATAAAAGCACTAATTTATTCCTATGAACAATCATTCCAATACAATTTACATAAAGAGCACTGGAAACCTTTGGACAAACCTAATAATTAAATTCGCCGTATTCAATTTTTTTTTCTTCATTAATCAAATTTTAATCTTATTTTGCAGAAAAGTTTGGTTGACAATGTCCAAAAACGCCAGCTCCCTGATATTGGGATGCTGTTTCTAAATCTAAAAGTAAGGCGATCAAACCTGGTGTCCGATTCGTTAAATGAGGTAAGACCAAATATAATTCTGCTTGTTTTTTGTTGTTTGTTTGTTGTTGTTGTTTTTTATCATTTCACCCCCAAGCAAGGCAATAAAGCCACTAAAATGCAATTGGTATATAGTGTTAGGGAATATGAGAAAATATATTACTAAGAAGAAAAGAGATTAAAAGAACAGAAATTAAGACGACAGAAGATAACGATTGAAACTGCATTTAAGTTTTGGAAGATCAAAGCCGGAAGAGTTCCACAAGCAAGAAGTGCGATAGAACAAACTGTTATCACAGAATTTCTTCATTACGTGCCCCAGAAATTTCAAATGCCTCTTCCTGATGTTGAATATAAGTTTCAATTTTGTTTCCATTTTTTCTAAAACCTCGTCGTTGCTCATATGTTCGGTCCATGGTATCCTCAGCATCTTTCTGTAGAACAACATTTCTGTTGCTTCAGTTCTCTTCTTCTCTTTGCAAGCGGAAGAGAGTTCCAAGTGAGAAGGGCGAGAGAAGAAACTGTTAGTATAAAACTTACGGTTACTTCATTCTAGCCATTCTAAAAAAATCTAGGTATTAGAGGAAAAATTTTGAAAGTATTTAGAAAATTTTTTACGTCATCCTTAGGAAAATTAAAGCCGAGGTTTCAGGTCAGGACCAATAAAATTGCAGATTTTCTTTGGATTTTATCTTTCTCTAAATATATAGCAAGCCGGAACAAACTGTACGTGGCAGCAATATTCAAAACATGGATGAATGGTTAAGGCATTATTATTTCATGGAGGAAAAATTGTTCAACACGATGGGTTAACCTTTTTTTGCGGCAGAATATACTCTTTCCACTTCATGTCAGTGGAAAAACGTTTGAGGGCAATGAGCCACTTTGGAGGTTAGCGTCGGTACATATCCATGTTCGGTTCAAGACATCCTCAGCATCTTTCTGTAGAACCACATTTCTGTTGCTTAGTTCTCTTCTTCATTTGGAGATTGTCCAGCATTCGCTGTCATATAAGATATTGTTTTTTAACGAAAGTGTCCATTTACTCTGCTTGGCTTTTGGAATGCATCTTTATCAAAAATGTCTTCGATATGTCAGATATTCTATCTGTTACATTCATTTTTCTATGTAGAAGCTTGGCTTTTTATTTTGCTCTTTAACCATGCATTTGATTTAATTTGCATCTCAGGCTCATTTTTTTTGAACAAACTGTTCCCTAATTTGCATTTTTAATTAATTTCTGATCTATTCTGTTTTAAAATTTGCTGATAACCATGGATTTTGTTTCTTTTGGGCTCATTCTTTTGCTGATAACAGTGGGAATTCTGTTTTTCTAATTTGCATTTGGGCTCATTCTTTTGCTTAACCATGAATTCTTTTCTAATTTGCTATTTGGGCTCATTCTTTTTGATAACCATGAATTCTGTTTTTAATTTGCATTTGGGCTCATTCTTTTGCTGATAACCATGAATTCTGCTTTTTCTAATTTGCAATTTTAATTTGCATTTGGGCTCATTCCTGAACCAATTCTGTTTTCTAATTTGCATTTGGGCTCATTTTTTTTTTGCTGATAACCATTATGGGCTCATTCTTTTTTTCTAATTTGCATCTGATAACCAAATTCATTTTCAGACATTTGGGCTCATTTTTTTATAACCATACATTCAGTTTTCTAATTTGCATTTTGGGCTCATTCTTTTGCTGATAACCATGAATTCTGTTTTTCTAATTTGCATTTGGGCTCATTCTTTTGCTGACAAGGTGTTGAATTCTGTTTTCTAATTTGCATTTTCTTTTCCATGCATTTTCTAATTTCAATTCTTTTGCTGATAACCATGAATTCTGTTTTTTTCTTTTTAATTTGGGCTCATTTTTGCTGATAACCATTTTGTTTTAATTTACTTTTGGGCTCATTTTTGATAACCATGCATTCTGTTTTTCTAATTTGCATTTGGGCTCATAATAACCATGCATTCTGTTTTCTAATTTGCATTTGGGCTCATTCTTTGCTGATAACCAAATTCTGTTTTCTAATTTGCATTGACCATGCATTCTTTTTTTAATTTGCATTTGGGCTAATTTCTTTTTTTTTGATAACCATAATTCTTTCTAATTTGCATTTTGGGCTCATTTTTTGTATTCTAAATTCTGTTTTTTTTTTACATTTGGGCTCATTTTTGAATAATCATGAATTCTGTTTTTCTAATTTGCATTTTGGGCTCATTCTTTTCTGATAACCATTTTCTGTTTTCTAATTTGCATTTTGGGCTCATTTTTTTGCTGATAACCAGCATTCTGTTTTTCTAATTTGCATTTTGGGCTCATTCTTTTTATCATAACCATGAATTCTGTTTTCTAATTTGCATTTTGGGCTCATTCTTTTTCTGATAACCATTTCTGTTTTCTAATTTGCATTTTGGGCTCATTCTTTTTGCTGATAACCAATAATTCTGTTTTCTAATTTGCATTTTGGGCTCATTCTTTTGCTGATAACCATGAATTCTGTTTTCTAATTTGCATTTTGGGCTCATTCTTTTGCTGATAACCATGCATTCTGTTTTCTAATTTGCATTTTGGGCTCATTCTTTTGCTGATAACCATGAATTCTGTTTTCTAATTTGCATTTTGGGCTCATTCTTTTGCTGATAACCATGAATTCTGTTTTCTAATTTGCATTTTGGGCTCATTCTTTTGCTGATAACCAATTCTGTTTTCTAATTTGCATTTTGGGCTCATTTTTTGCTGATAACCATGCATTCTGTTTTCTAATTTGCATTTGGGCTCATTCTTTTGCTGATAACCATTCTGTTTTCTAATTTGCATTTTGGGCTCATTTTTTGCTGATAACCATATTCTGTTTTCTAATTTGCATTTGGGCTCATTCTTTTTTTAACTTATGAATTCTGTTTTCTAATTTGCATTTTGGGCTCATTTTTTGCTGATAACCATGAATTCTGTTTTCTAATTTGCATTTTGGGCTCATTCTTTTTTTGCTGATAACCATGCATTCTGTTTTCTAATTTGCATTTTGGGCTCATTCTTTTGATAACCATGAATTCTGTTTTCTAATTTGCATTTGGGCTCATTTTTTGCTGATAACCATGCATTCTGTTTTCTAATTTGCATTTTGGGCTCATTCTTTTGCTGATAACCATGAATTCTGTTTTCTAATTTGCATTTGGGCTCATTCTTTTGCTGATAACCATGAATTCTGTTTTCTAATTTGCATTTTATTCTTTTGCTGATAACCATGAATTCTGTTTTCTAATTTGCATTTTGGGCTCATTCTTTTTGCTGATAACCATGAATTCTGTTTTCTAATTTGCATTTTTTGGGCTCATTCTTTTTGCTGATAACCATGCATTCTGTTTTCTAATTTGCATTTTAATTCTTTTTGCTGATAACCATGAATTCTGTTTTCTAATTTGCATTTTGGGCTCATTCTTTTGCTGATAACCATATTCTGTTTTCTAATTTGCATTTTGGGCTCATTTTTTGCTGATAACCAAATTCTGTTTTCTAATTTGCATTTTGGGCTCATTCTTTTGCTGATAACCATGCATTCTGTTTTTCTAATTTGCATTTTTGGGCTCATTTTTTTGCTGATGATAACCATGAATTCTGTTTTTCTAATTTGCATTTTGGGCTAATTCTTTTTGCTGATAACCATGAATTCTGTTTTTCTAATTTTGCATTTTGGGCTCATTTTTTGCTGATAACCATGAATTCTGTTTTCTAATTTGCATTTTGGGCTCGTTTTTTTGCTGATAACCATGCATTCTGTTTTCTAATTTGCATTTTGGGCTCATTCTTTTGCTGATAACCATGCATTCTGTTTTCTAATTTGCATTTTGGGCTCATTCTTTTGCTGATAACCATGAATTCTGTTTTCTAATTTGCATTTTGGGCTCATTCTTTTGCTGATAACCATGAATTCTGTTTTCTAATTTGCATTTTGGGCTCATTTTTTTGCTGATAACCATGCATTCTGTTTTCTAATTTGCATTTTGGGCTCATTCTTTTGCTGATAACCATGAATTCTGTTTTCTAATTTGCATTTTGGGCTCATTCTTTGCTGATAACCAAATTCTTTTTTCTGATAATTTGCATTTTGGGCTCATTCTTTTGCTGATAACCATGAATTCTGTTTTCTAATTTGCATTTTGGGCTCATTCTTTTTGCTGATAACCATGAATTCTGTTTTTTTGCATTTTGGGCTCATTTTTTGCTGATAACCATGCATTCTGTTTTCTAATTTGCATTTTGGGCTCATTCTTTTGCTGATAACCATGCATTCTGTTTTCTAATTTGCATTTTGGGCTCATTCTTTTGCTGATAACCATGAATTCTGTTTTCTAATTTGCATTTTGGGCTCATTCTTTGCTGATAACCATGAATTCTGTTTTCTAATTTGCATTTGGGCTCATTCTTTTGCTGATAACCATGCATTCTGTTTTCTAATTTGCATTTTGGGCTCATTTTTTGCTGATAACCATGAATTCTGTTTTCTAATTTGCATTTTGGGCTCATTCTTTTGCTGATAACCATGCATTCTGTTTTCTAATTTGCATTTGGGCTCATTTTTTGCTGATAACCATGCATTCTGTTTTCTAATTTGCATTTTGGGCTCATTCTTTTTGCTGATAACCATGAATTCTGTTTTCTAATTTGCATTTTGGGCTCATTTTTTTGCTGATAACCATGAATTCTGTTTTTCTAATTTGCATTTGGGCTCATTCTTTTGCTGATTTAATTCTGTTTTCTAATTTGCATTTTGGGCTCATTCTTTTGCTGATAACCATGCATTCTGTTTTCTTTTGCATTTTGGGCTCATTTTTTTGCTGATAACCATGCATTCTGTTTTCTTTGCTTTTAGGCATTCATTCTTTTTCTCATAACCATAATTCTGTTTTCTAATTTGCATTTTGGGCTCATTTTTTGCTGATAACCATGAATTCTGTTTTCTAATTTGCATTTTGGGCTCATTCTTTTGCTGATAACCATAATTCTCATTTTTTTCTAATTTGCATTTTTTGGCTCATTTTTTTGCTGATAACCATGCATTCTGTTTTTCTAATTTGCATTTTGGGCTCATTCATTTTTTGCTGATAACCAAATTCTGTTTTCTAATTTGCATTTGGGCTCATTCTTTTGCTGATAACCATAATTCTGTTTTCTAATTTGCATTTTGGGCTCATTCTTTTGCTGATAACCATGCATTCTGTTTTCTAATTTGCATTTGGGCTCATTCTTTTGCTGATAACCATGAATTCTGTTTTCTAATTTGCATTTGGGCTCATTCTTTTGCTGATAACCATGCATTCTGTTTTCTAATTTGCATTTGGGCTCATTCTTTTTTGATAACCATGAATTCTCTAATTTTTTCTATTTCTTTAATTTGCATTTTGGGCTCATTTTTGCTGATAACCATAATTCTGTTTTTCTAATTTGCATTTTGGGCTCATTCTTTTGCTGATAACCATGAATTCTGTTTTCTAATTTGCATTTGGGCTCATTCTTTTGCTGATAACCATAATTCTGTTTTCTAATTTGCATTTTGGGCTCATTCTTTTTGCTGATAACCATGAATTCTGTTTTCTAATTTGCATTTTAGGCTCATTCTTTTGCTGATAACCATGAATTCTGTTTTCTAATTTGCATTCTTTTTGGGCTCATTTTTCATTTTTTGCTGATAACCATGCATTCTGTTTTCTAATTTGCATTTTGGGCTCATTCTTTTTGATAACCATGAATTCTGTTTTCTAATTTGCATTTTGGGCTCATTCTTTTTTGCTGATAACCATGCATTCTGTTTTCTAATTTGCATTTTGGGCTCATTCTTTTTGCTGATAACCATGCATTCTGTTTTCTAATTTGCATTTTTGGCTCATTCTTTTGCTGATAACCATAATTCTGTTTTTCTAATTTGCATTTTGGGCTCATTTTTTTTTGATAACCATGCTCATTCTGTTTTCTAAAATAACCATGAATTCTGTTTTCTAATTTGCATTTTGGGCTCATTCTTTTGCTGATAACCATGCATTCTGTTTTCTAATTTGCATTTTCTGTTTTCTAATTTGCATTTTGGGCTCATTAACCATTCTGTTTGGACTCATTCCATGTTTTCTAATTTGCTCATTTTTGCTGATAACCATCATTTTTTGCTGATTTTTAACTCATGAATTCTGTTTTCTAATTTTCATTTTGGGCTCATTTTTTGCTGATAACCATGCATTCTGTTTTCTAATTTGCATTTTGGGCTCATTCTTTTGCTGATAACCATGAATTCTGTTTTCTAATTTGCATTTTGGGCTCATTTTTTTGCTTATAACCATGCATTCTGTTTTCTAATTTGCATTTTGGGCTCATTCTTTTGCTGATAACCATGAATTCTGTTTTTCTAATTTGTATTTTGGGCTGTTTTTGCTTATAACCATGCATTCTGTTTTCTAATTTGCATTTTGGGCTCATTCTTTTGCTGATAACCATGAATTCTGTTTTCTAATTTGCATTTTGGGCTCATTCTTTTGCTGATAACCATGAATTCTGTTTTCTAATTTGCATTTTGGGCTCATTCTTTTGCTGATAACCATGAATTCTGTTTTCTAATTTGCATTTTGGGCTCATTCTTTTGCTGATAACCATGAATTCTGTTTTCTAATTTGCATTTTGGGCTCATTCTTTTGCTGATAACCATGAATTCTGTTTTCTAATTTGCATTTTGGGCTCATTCTTTTGCTGATAACCATGAATTCTGTTTTCTAATTTGCATTTTGGGCTCATTCTTTTGCTGATAACCATGCATTCTGTTTTCTAATTTGCATTTTGGGCTCATTCTTTTGCTGATAAATGAATTCTGTTTTCTAATTTGCATTTGGGCTCATTCTTTTGCTGATAACCATGCATTCTGTTTTCTAATTTGCATTTTAATTCTTTTTGCTTTAACCATGCATTCTGTTTTTCTAATTTGCATTTTGGGCTCATTCTTTTGCTGATAACCATGAATTCTGTTTTCTAATTTGCATTTTGGGCTCATTAACCATGCATTCTGTTTTCTAATTTGCATTTTGGGCTCATTTTTTGCTGATAACCATAATTATGTTTTCTAATTTGCATTTTGGGCTCATTCTTTTTGATAACCATGAATTCTGTTTTCTAATTTGCATTTTAGGCTCATTCTTTTGCTGATAACCATGAATTCTGTTTTCTGTTTGGCTCATTCTTTTGCTGATAACCATGTATTTGTTTTCTAATTTGCATTTTGGGCTCATTCTTTTGCTGATAACCATAATTCTGTTTTCTAATTTGCATTTTTGGGCTCATTCTTTTGCTGATAACCATCATTCTGTTTTCTAATTTGCATTTTGGGCTCATTCTTACATAACCATAATTCTGTTTCTAATTTGCATTTTGGGCTCATTCTTTTGCTTATAACCATGAATTCTGTTTTCTAATTTGCATTTTTGTCATTCTTTTGCTGATAACATAATTCTTTTTTTAATTTGCATTTTGGGCTCATTCTTTTGCTGATAGCCATGAATTCTGTTTTCTAATTTGCATTTATCATTTTTTTGCTTATAAAATGAATTCTGTTGTAATTTGCATTTGGGCTCATAATTTTTTTAAAAATGAATTCTATTTTCTAATTTGCATTTTGGGCTCATTCTTTTTGCTGATAAAATTCTGTTTTTTTTAAAGTCATTTTCATAAAATTGTTTTTTGACCCCATTCTTTTGTTTGGGGTTAACTATTTACCCATAGCTGGGACCCCAATAACAGGTTCTGTTTTCTACCACCCCTTGGGTCAGGGGTGGACCTGGGAACATCAGCAATTATGAGGTGGTTCCACACTCCTCAAAACCTCCTGATCAGAGGCCTTGCTGTTGGACGTAGTTAATCATCTTACCCAGGACGGAACTAGAAGTGTATACTTATATATAAAAAAAAATATATTTTTACAGTAAGGTTCATATTTTTTTTAAAAAAGCCCTGGAGTCACATAGTGTTTTGACCCCTGTTTCAAGGTACCACCCCGGGTCAGGGTGGAGGGTTTCATTAGGAGGCAATTTATATTGATAGGCCTTGCTGTTGGAAGATTACGGTTAACCTAGCCTTGTCGTTTCACCCTTTACAAAGCCCTGGATCACTCAAGGTGGGGGAAACATCCTCTTGAGAGTCTGTTCCACCTTGTCAGTGGTTCGGGAAGATCCTGTTCGAGTCTGGAACCTCTGTTCGATGGAATACGGAAGGAATCTGGAAGTAATGTGAGTGGTTTATAAGTGACGTACCGGGACTAGAGAATGTAGTTCGTCCGAGCAATTTTCGTGGGAGTAGCGATAGAGTAGTGGAGGGCTTGCTATATCCAGCCTTTGTGGGAAGAGATTAGAGGGTGGAGAACAGCTCGTCCCCCAAAAGGGCTCGGACACGCTTTTAGACACTCTCAAGGCTAGAGAGTGACAACAGTACTCCATTTTTGGCCCGATGTGGCTCTTGTAAAATTAGAGAATAGCTGTAAGATAATTTATTAAAACAAAGTAACTATTAACAACAAAACAAAATGTCCTTATCAACTAGAGGAATTTAGAAAACGCTATCGTTTTCATATTCTTCTATTCCATTGTATTCTTCTACTTGCTAAGGATATTTTGTTTTGTTGTTAATAGTTACTTTGTTTTAATAAATTCATTTCGTTTTTGCCTTGAAAAAGTCCACATCGGACGAAACGCGTCGGCTAATAATACAGTTTTCCTATTGTCTTTTACCTTTATATATATTGTCTTTTTCTACAGGTTAACTCTGAGAAATTTCACACACACACACACATATATATATATATATATATATATATATATATATATATATATATACATATTTTTTTTATTTTCAGATAGCCAGTAAGCAAAGTGAATTAAAGAAAAAATTAAAGGTGACGTTTGCAGGTGAGCCAGGTCTTGATATGGGCGGTCTTACCAAAGAATGGTTCCTGTTACTCATTCGACAAATCTTTGACCCCGATTATGGTAAATTGATTTGTTTTTTCATCGAATAAAATTTTCAGATTTCTTTGTTTATTTATAGAGGAAAAGTAATGAACCAGGGCACCTACCATAGAGCAAAAACGAAAAACGCTGGCAAGAAGTCGAATGGAACTTCTTCCTTGCGTGTGGAATACGAACGTGCTGAGGAGGGTTCACCCCTGTGTACGTTGCATGGCGTGTCTTAGCTGGGAAGGACTGAACCGTTGAAGCTAGGGAATAGAACGATGGTGTAGCGGTACTTACATTGTTGCCTCTGGAGAGGATTCTTTTTATTTCATCCGAAGCAAGGCAATAAAGTCACTAAGCCGCAAAGGATTACTGAGTGTTGAGAATATCAGAAAAATAAAAATTATTGAGGAAAAAGAACAATAAAGGAACATGAATTAAAAGACAGAAGATAACGGCTGATATTGCATTTAACTATTTGAAGATCAAAGTTGGCTGGGAAGCAAGCAAGAAGCCGGAAGAGAGTCTACAAGTGAGAAGGGCGAGAGAAGAAACTGTTGGCATAGAACTTACGGTCACATCTAGCCATTCTGACTGTAAAATGATGAGACCTCACCGCCAATCCAGTACTGCGGTTAAATTCATAAAGTCTAGGTACCTTAGAGGAAAGTTCGTCAGAACAATTACCATGTAAGTATTTATAGAAAAAGACACAGTCAAGCTACATTATGGCGGTGGGAAAATGATGGAAGCCGAGGTTCCAGATCAAGACCAATAAAATTGCAGATTCTTCTTTGGATTTTATCAGTATTCTCTAAATATATAGCAAGCGGAACAAACTGTACGTGGCAGCAATATTCAAAACATGGACGAATAGTAGACATAATTATGGATTATGGAGGGAAAAATTGTTCAACACGACGCAGTGAACTAACCTTTTTTTTTGCGGCAGACTTAGCAATTGATTCAATATACTCTTTCCACTTCATGTCAGTGGAAAACGTTAGTGAGAGAATTCGCAATGAGCCACTCTGGAGGTTAGCGTCAGCCTACATATCCACATAATTTACAATTCTTACGTTCTTATGAATAGTAGGCTAAGTGTGTCAGATAGATCCTTGCGAGAAAGATTTGTAGGGATATTATTATTAGTAGCAGTAAATAAAAAATAAAAATAAATAATAATAATAATAATGAACGTCACAAATAAAATAAAATGAACCAGGCAACATTAAAACGCTGTTTAAAATAAATTAAATAAAAAATAAAAATAAAAAAGTTCTCCCAGCATGCAACATGTTATACAGGAATAAAGTGTCGCTGCCGACACTTGAGTTTGATCAAGATCGCCAGTGAGCAAACACAGGCGATCCTATTATTGAATTAAGTGGATCACGTGACCATAGAGGAAACGTATATATAGGAAGTCGCGTGACGTCTAGACTGATCGCTACTCTATCTTCTATTACTATAGGGAGACGCTATTCTCTACTAGCAGTAGAGCCCGGTGTTGCCCGGGGATGTAACAGTAAGAGATAGATCAAGTATCGACCATCATAAAGAATGAAAAATAAAATTGACAAAGATTATTGTTTAAGGTTGACGGACACGCATGTCTTAATGAATTTTTTTATTTTTTTACGAATTGGTCAAACCCAAACTCAAACAAAAACATTGTTTTCAATCGTTATGAGTCTACCGATTGAATAGAATTTTATTATAAACAATTGTCTTGTAAATGGAATTTTTAAAGCATTCTGAATGTAAAAATAAAGAAAAAGTGTGCAAGACAATAAGAAACACTACCTGCCAAAAAAAAGTGAAGTTTTGTTGAAATCGGTTGAAAAATGTAGGAAATCCGATCCCATATATAAACACACACACACACACACACACACACACACACACACACACACACACACACAAACAACCTGGGTTTTAAGTATAACTCGATATGAGTTGTCCCCCTTTCATTCTCGCGATGCCTCTTAACCGTGTTTACAAATTGATTTCGTGCAAAAACAATTGTGTTTTTCAATTTTTGGCGCTGTCAGAACCACCGCAAGGTAATTTTACGTAGTCCTGTGAAGTTTTGTTGAAATCGGTTAAAAATGTAGGAAATCCGATCCAATATATAAACGTACAGACACACACACACACACACACGCATACACGCACACACACACAACCTGGGTTTTATAATAAGTATGATTCACTATACTATTTGTCTATTCAGATCATTGGTTTGGTTTGGTTTGTTTTACGGCATATCAACCTCAATGGGTTATTTAATGCCGACAAAATTTTTATTGCTGGCAATATGTTTTTCTTCAAAAATCTATTTCTGGGAATATTTTTCCCTGAAGAAATCTATAGCTGGTTATATTTTTTTTACAAAGAATGTATAGCTGTTTGTATTGATGGTATTTTTTTAAAGTATTGCTGATAATTTTTCGTTCAAAAATTATTGCTGGTAATATTTTTTTTTATTATTATTGCAAAGTATTTCTGGTATTAAAACCTGTTTTTACACAAGTTTGGGTGTTAACCATTTGCCCATAGCTGGGACCCTAACAGGTGCTACCACCCCGGATCAGGGTGGACCTGGGAACACCAGCAATTGAGAAGCAGCACCACGCTCCTTAAAATCTCCTGATCAGAGGCTTTACTGTTGGACGTAGTTTATCGTCTTACCCAGGCCGCGGATGTAGTTTATCGTCCTACCCAGGACGGTCTATTCGGATCACTATACGGATTATTGTTCAAGAGAGTATTATCGAGCAAGTACTATTAGTGCGAGTGTTATTCGAAGGCGTCTGAAACCAGTATTGTTCGATGGCGTTACTATAGTTGTATCTGCGATTACAAAGTCTCTACTACAACGAACATTAGAAAAGTGACAACGAGTATTCGTTGACATCACAAAAGTGTCAACCGAGAGTTTGTTGAGTCACAAAACAACAAAAACTGTTCCCGCTGGAAATGGACTCCCCCAACAAAAGAAGCGAAATGAATTCTCTTCGCTACTGACCATTGGAAAGTGGAGACGCCCAGCTCCTCTCCTCAGGACATTGCTTGTTATAATACGGAATTCTTTCTTTTTTTATCAAATGCAACCTTAAATCACTTGTAATTAAAACCAACAGACACATCCACAGACACACACCAGTACGCAAAAATAAATAAATGGTATGATTTTAATTTAAAATTTAACATGCTTTTAGTGTTATTTCTGTGTATGTTTTTACTCCTGTGAACACAAGGCTATTTCTGCTGCTATGATATGAGTGATCCCACAGATTGTCTTGCACGACTCAGTTTTGGTCGAAAATAATTAATAGCCTATAAGGCAGCATAAAATTTAATACCTTCTTAATAAAGAGTAAATGTTCTGTTATCTTTTCAGGGATGTTCACTTTTGACAAGAAGGCGGGCGTTTACTGGTTCAGCAGCGCTCCTTGCACTAATTATCAAGAATTTCGCCTTGTTGGAGTTGTATCCTTCTTTTATTTTATCTTTTGAATAAAAGGGTAGATAATTTTCGTTAGTTTAATAAAAGAACAAAGGTTCATAAAGGACCTTCCTCAGTACGGCTTGATACTTTTGAGAACAACACAAGAACTAGTGAGAATGGGGCAAATGGGTAATCACAAAACCTCTAGCCACTCGAGTCCTAGATAAAATCCTTGACAATCCACTTTTCTATTCACCAAAAACTGTGAGTATTTTTTTTAAACATTTCATTAAGTAGTTACTTAATTTCTATAATTAAAAAAAAAATAGTCATCATACAGTTACGGCAGAAATAGCTCCCACATTTTAAAGATTAACAAAAGACAAAAAGTCCAAGGTAACAGCTACTAAAAAAAATTAGGCAAACATGGATATCCATGCCTGCAAAAAAAACAAAAACAAAAAAAAAACTGAATGTCAAAAAGGCGATTTTTCCTATGAGACTGCTTTTTAACTACCGTCACTCCTTGGCAATGTTTATTGTTTTAAAAAGCGATGAATATAATTGTAATGAAACCTAAACATATGAAAGTAAGCTTATACATTTTGTACTTAAGAATTGACAACAAAGATACGAAACTGTATTTATTTATTAGATTGTTTATTTACACTATTTATTTATTGCTTGTTGGAATGGTTGTCAAAACATTGGCTAATTGCCAATTGATTCAAACTTTATAAAATGGTAAATAATAAAGAGTTTTTTTTATAGTTGGTTCACATATTTTTATAATTTAGTAAATGTTTATAAATTTGTATATATTTCTGAGATGTGCTAACTATGTACACTATTTACATTATTCGAACTATTGTCCTCATCTTTGCCATATTTATTACAACGTTTCGTTCTACGCTCCGGTGTTTGGAATGTCGAACTGAACCCTTTATTTCGCTCACTGGGGTATACTGTTCTAATTCCACATGCCATATCTAATGGATGTCAGTTATCAGTTATCTCCAGTTAATTACCCTCTCCAAATTCTCCACCGCCTTAACCAGGTATTGAACTCACAATCTTTAAAAAGGCCGGAGTGTACAACAGCCGAAACGTTGTGATAAATATGGCAACAAAGATGAGGATAATAGTCCGAATAATAATGTAAATAGTGTAAGATACGAAACGGATTTATTAGATTGTTTATTTACATTATTTATTTGTTCTTTGTTGGAATGGTTGTCAAAACATTGGTTCACATATTTTTATAATTTAGTAAAAGTTTATAAAATTATGAATAAATATTGTTTTCATATATATTTCTTTATAAATTGGGAAATGATAAATATTGCATTGCATTAGTTCTAATAATTGTATTCATTTTTAGAATGCTGTAGATATAAAATTATTATTGCAAGTAAAAAAAAATTAATAAAGAAATGGTGCTTAATATTTTTGTTGTAAATTCTCAAAAGCAAAAAGAAATGTATGAATTCACTTTCATCATATGTTTAGGTTTTATTAAAATTCTAATAATCGCTTTTTAAAACAACAAACATTGCCGAGGATTAGTTTAAAAAACAAAAGCGGTGTTATGGGAAAATACAAAATACAAAAATACAAAACGGTGTCATGAGAAAAATCATCCTTTTGACACTTTTTTTATCGGCACGAAAGTCCATGTTTGCCACAAAAAGTTACTACTGTTGTTTAAGCAAAGGACTATAGGTTTTATTCATTTACTTTTAAAAATGAAATCCTCCAAATGGTGGCCTCTATTCGTCATACACTACAAACAATTTCCAAAGGTTGGACTTTTTCTAGAGTTCGAGCGCTTCAAGGTCTTCTAGGTGGCTTTCTTTTAAGTGCTGAATATGTGACCCTGAAATTTTAAACCCAGATCAGTATCGATTTTCTATGCGGAACATCATGATTCCGACGTAACATGAAATGAATACAAAAATCTCTGTGTTGCAATTACAGATTCAACAGTCTTAAAAATATGTTTCGACAGTAAACGCACAGTGTGTACCGGTCCAAGCCATGATGATAACTGATTTATATCTTAAAAAAATGGTATGACATTTGCTAAATGAAGAAACCATTGGCACTTGCCCGAGCTTACTAGCACCACAAAGGTGACAGTTTAAAATGTGGGAGATATTTCTTCCTCACTTTGTATATCCAGGTATTGTTAATACGATTGAAATTATTTTGTTGATACCACAATATTTCCCCTAATACTTTTTACAAGCCGCTTCCGGTTTACGATCGAAAAGGAAAGAGACACGCTTCTTTTTCAGGAAATATACCTTGTGTTTAATTTACTATGAAAGCCAATTGACCAATTCTTTTTCCTTAACTTCGCCCAGTTAATGGGATTGGCTGTTTATAACAGTATCATGTTAGATATCCGATTTCCAGCTTGTTGCTACAAGAAACTCCTTAGTCCAGCCGTAGTTCCGTACAACAATCCGAAAATGCCTGTCGGTGTGGCGCAGCTCACACTTCAAGACCTGCAACTTGTGCATCCGGTAAAACTTATGTTCAATAATCCCATTTTTTTGTTTTAAATTTTTAAAAAAATTTGATGAAGAACAACTTCAGTTTTAAATCGACCTCGTATCTCCATTTTCCCGGTCATAAAAACAGGGAAAATGAAGACACTAGCCTGATACTATTGATTCTTTGTCGAGTATTTTTAGCCGTGGTATTTAAAGAATAAATAGAAAATATTTTTAGAACATTGAAACATTTTTGTCTCGTCTACAGTGGCATTTCTGGAGGTAGTTGCAAAAATTAATATACAAAGCTCAAAGTTTGCATGTGTGTCCTATTGAAATCGTGAAGATTAATTAAATATAGCGATTTTCGAAGCGTAGCTCAGATGTTGCATAAGGCCGAAAGTATGGGACACCCAGTAAGGATCGAACTCACTACTCAGCCGTTATATATAAAGTTGATTTTCTTACAATGACGCCAATCTGTGATATCAACTTAACACGGTTTTATCATTTTTCTCAACCAACATGTCTTATATTTTGCCCAACTTAACGTTTCTTGCTTAATAGAGTTAACTAATTTGTATATTCAGCTTGAAAATCATTTTTATAACAACTATTTTTTATTAATTTCCATTTTGATATTTTGTGATCTTCATAAATATGTCACTGTTTCATTAAAGGCTATACTTATTTAATTACTTAGTTATTCGAACAAAGCTATTTTTTTGTCCTGAAAGTGAGAACGACCTCAGCAATTAGATCACAGCTTGAGAGTAAAGGGAAGAATGCAATATATAAAAAGAGGTAAGAATTTGGTCATGAGAATTTTAGACGTTTTTGTCATGAAATTGTTGTAGGTTTGTGTAGTAGGAATTTGTTTTCACGTCTGCATTTGGAAATAAGACGTGATCTTTTGCCAAGCGGTCTATTTTCTGTTGGAAATGTAATTATTACTATTTTCTCTTCGAGGCCAAGGTTACATCATTTTGAGATTTTGTTTTAAGCTGATGCTGCTTCTTCATATTCACCTTTTTATTTTTCGTTTGTTTTTGTTTGTATTGAGCTGTCATATACGATTTGATAGGTTAGTGCTGTTTGCCAATTTTTTGTTGTTAATTTGGTATGAAAATCGCATTGAAGTGTGAAACTGACACTCACCATACGGTGTTGATTCTTTTGTTCACGCTGTCTATACCTATATACAATATCTCCGTATAAATATAGCAACTATATATATATATATATATATATATATATATATATGATAAAATATAGTTTTTAAGGTATGTTATATCTATGAGTTAAAGTGGTCAATATTAGGGATAGCGCATATGTAAATATAAAAGTGGATATTGAAGTCAACACTCAGCAGCGACAGTCTGTTTCATGCAATCATCAGGACACACACACACCCACACACACACACACATATATATATATATATATATATAAAATTGATTCTCCCGTCGCGTTCGACATATGAGTGTCAAGCAGATCAGTTTGCAGGAAACTGACAGCCCGACACCGGCACATGAGATTCGATTATAGTGGTGAAGGTTTCGTGCAGGACCATCGACAAGGGGCGAATACAGAGACCTGGTGCACTACGTGCCACAAGGTCCCCAAACAACCCCCCTCAGGTTTTGAATTCAGAGTTGTCCTTTTCCTAGACCAGTTGCCATCCAACGCTATAGAACCAGTCTGTCCTGCTATTTTAGGGAGAAGAAGAGGATTCACACCTTTCCAAAGGGTATTAGCACGTAAGTGTATGTACTGGATTCGAACTCGGCTCTACGATTCCTCAATCCAAGCCGATATCCATTACTCCACCGTGCCTTTTATATATATATATCCACTGTGCCATGTGTCCTTGAGGACATCTCTGTGTGAATTTCTGGGTATTAGGACACATGGCACAATACCTGGTTAAGGCAGTGGAGAACTTGGAGAGGGGAATTAACAGGAGATAACTGATAACTGATAACCATTAGACATGGCACGTGGAACTAGAACAGTCTACCCCAGTGAGAGAAATAAAGGAAAGGGTTCAGTTCGACATTCCAACCATCTGAAGAAGGCCGGAGCGTACAACGGCCGAAATATTGTAACAAATATGGCGACAAAGATGAGGACAATAGTCCGAATAATGTAAATAGTGTACATAATACCTCATCTCAGAAATATAGACAGATACTGAAGAGCCGAAACGTTGTAATAAATATGGCGACAAAGATGAGGACAATAGTCCGAATAATGTAAATAGTGTACATAATACCTCGTCTCAGAAATATAGACAGATACTGAAGGGCCGAAAAGTTGTAACAAATATGGCGACAAAGATGAGGATAATAGTCCGAATAATGTAAATAGTGTACATAATACCTCGTCTCAGAAATATAGACAGATACTGAAGGACCGAAACATTGTAACAAATATGGCGACAAAGATGAGGACAATAGTCCGAATAATGTAAATAATGTACATAATACCTCATCTCAGAAATATAGACAGATACTGAGGGATGAAGAGATGCTATTTTTTAGCAAGACAATGATCCTGCCCGTCAAAAAGTCGTTTGAGAACAAATCCATCAGGTTTATACTTTGTTTAAATTAGAGTCTAGGTTTAGGCCGTCTAAAAATATTTGGTCTTACATTGGACACAAAATAACTAGGAAACCGTTTACAATAATAAAAATATTATAACGTACCGTATATGAAATAAACAACTAAATGGTTCGTCCTCCTGTTTAATTCCATTCTCCTGTGGGGTATATGAACACAGCCTCACCAGATTACGTGTTGTTGGTAGGTTTTTCTGGTGCAATGCTGGGTATCTTTGCTATATTAGAGAAATTTCTTTTTAATATTTTACAGGATATCGCCAATGGTTTAAAAGAACTTTTGGAATATGAAGGAGATGTCCAAGAAGACTTTGGTTTGACATTCCAGGTAAGATAAATAAGAGTACAGACAGTAACGCTTTAATTGTTCAACCTCAGGACGAAGTTATTGCTGAACCGTGTATAATGATGAAACACAAAAGCTGACCTAGAAAGAAACCCCGATGTTCTGTTAAAAGCTATATAGCACTCTTCTCTTACAAATATAGCAACTTTTAAACTTTATATATATATATATATATATATATATATATATATAATTATTTATTTAAAAATATGATTCCAAATTGCTACATAAGAGGTCTCATGTTTCAAAACAAGAGCCGAAAACTTCAATATAATCCTTTAAATTAAATTGAGTTGAAAGTAAAATGGGCTCCGTTCCATCTTCAAGCGAAATTTTGTTGGAATAACGTATATCTGAAATTTACATGTTTTAAAATTGAAATCAAAATCCCCATGGTGGTCCAACAAAATTGTCTAAATTGGGATGGAACGTGAGCCCAATTTAGTTCATTCTCAATTTAATTTAAAGGATTAGCTGTTACCATGGGGTTTTTGATTTCAATTTTAAAACAATGTAAATTTCAGATATACGATTTGGAATTTCAAAAGATTATTTTTTAAATAAATAATTATATTTTAAATAAATAATTCTACTTTTGTATCGAGCACTATTTTTTAAAAATAATAACTAAAATACTAAGGGACTTTGGATTATTTACCTAACCAGTTCCTTCCTATTTTCTATATATTTTCACACATATATATATATATAGTTTAAAAGTTTAGCTCTAACATTCGTCCCACACCCTCATACTTACACTCTCTCTAAATTCTGTTTTTATTTCCGGAGTTGTTTTTTCTGTTTTCTTTTTGAATTTGTACGCCTGATGAATTGGATCGTATTTACGATTCTAATGGAATAAATTATGACCATGGAATATTAGTGTTTATGCCTTTTTATTAAATCCTTACTCTGTCCTGGACATTGAGTTCTACCTGGATTCTATCCTCTTGGAATTTTTATTAAAAAAATATACATGTATGGCTATACACCTATGTATATATATTTTTATATATTTTGCATATGTATGTGTATATTTACCACTAATATTATCTCTCTCTCTCTCTCTCTCTCTCTCTCTATATATATATATATATATATATATATATATATATATTGTGTATTTAGACAGAAATCCTTCATTTATGCATATTTCATTAAAGACGACAGACAAGGTACTAAGATTAAGGTTCTTATTTCATTTTTTGTGTTCGAACAAGTGTTTTCTTTTTTTGGACACAGAGTGTGTAGAAACTGTCCAAATGTTCTATCTATGAGTTCAAATGCCCCTTAAGAAACTGTGTTCCTGACCAAACCGAATTTATAAATAATTATACGGGTCACACGACTACTTGCCTTACGTTACTCCTATCTGACCACATTTCTATTAGAATCCATTTAAACACACACAAAAACTTACCAGACTCCACGCGAAACATTCTAGTAGAAAATACGAACATAATAACCTCATCCACCTGTAAAAAAAAAGATTAAAATAATGGAAGCCTTAATAATAAAAAAGAAAAAGCCAACACTTGATAATATTAACTACAAACACGGCCACAATGTATTCGGAACATAAAACATATCTATAACACTAAAAAAAAAAAAAAATATACACACAACGCACAGACTCAACTAAACTGAAAAAATAAAATCATCCTTGATAATGGCCAAAAGTACGGCCGAAAGCGCTCGGAATTATAGAACATTTGGTCAGTTTCTTCACACTCTGTGTCCAAAAAGAAAACACTTGTTCAAACACAAGGAAAATTAAATAAAAGGCTTAATCGTAATACCTTTTCTGCCGTTTTTAATGAAAAAAATATATATATATATGTGTGTGTGTGTGTGTGTGTGTGTGTGTGTGATAAAAATATAGTTTTAAGGACGAAAAAATATAATTTTAAGGGCAAAAAGGTTATGAGCCTAAGATTTAGTTAAAAGGTTATGAGCCTAAGATTTAGTTAAAAGGTTATGAGCCTAAGATTCTTAATGACATGATTACAGAAATGATATGATTGCAGTAGTTGTTTTATGTTACTTTCTTGGCAAAAACCTTTATTTTTCAATAATGTTCCCTCACGACGTCAGGAACAAGATTTGTATTCTAGGGATTTTCGATAGCCCCATCTTGAAAAAAATGGCATTCTTTAATTTGGTGAGCTTTACTAAAAGTTGAATACTTTTGTGGATAAAATACCATAGAAATTCAACACTAAAAAAAAAAAAAAAAAAAAGGAAAATTACACTTTGTAGAGCAATGCCTTATATTCTGCAATTGGTTGCCCCCATGCACCTCGAGGTACAGATGAATAAAAGAGAGGATATGCGTTTTTTTCGTGCTAAACAGTTATTAATAATAACTGTCAATATGCGTTCAGACCTCAGGTACTTTCGCTTTCATTTTCTCGCTGTCTTAAAATATATGCCGCCGTATGTCTTCACTCACAAATTGTGTTTGCCTTTTAGGTGTCTTATACAGAACTGGGTTGTGTTAAGACCCACCCGCTGAAAACTAACGGAGAAAATATATTTGTAACTAACAGCAACCGAGGAGGTAGGTATTTATGCAGATTTCCAAAAATTCTCAGGTAGGTCGAAGGTTACAGTTTAGATGTATTAACACAAATTGATTCGTTGGAAGAAAATCTTTCTCAATTTCATATCACGAAAGCATTATATATTTTTAGTGGTTGTTTATTAAACACTTATGAATTTTTGTCTACCCACCTGAATATCCGAAAATCTTATTAAAGGAAAAATATGGGCTTTCCGACAGGATTCTTATCTGCTTGCCCCTAGGCAAAGTTAACCGGCGTTAGATCCGGCGTGTTTCAACAGACTCAGCCACGAAGTGTAGAGTTTGATAATAGCAACAGACAGTACTTGACTGTAATTGAAGTTGGGTCTGACTGACTACAAGTCTGCTGGGCAAATTGGTAGGTGGTTTATATAACAGTCTGGGAGATTCCATTCTGTTACGGGCAAGTCTATTCTGTAAGTTCTGATTGGCTGATGATTCCAGTACAGTGGATATATATTTGTATATATATGTTGTAAATAATATTTATCATCTCATTGGGATGTTTTTTTTTTTTTTTTTTTTTTGTTTTTTTAAAGGCTCCTCCCCTGTGAGGATGTGGTATTATGGTGTATGGAGGAATGATTGGCGACGGATGGGTTTTTATGGCGAATGAGGAAATTGTAATGAGTGAATGGGTCGTGAATGCGATTAGCTAGGTATAAGATAGTTAGTGAAGACCAGCCTCAACCTATTCCCCCTTTTTGGCCTTGTGCCATAATTGTATTAATTTACAATAAATCTCAATATCCAGCACAATATCCACCCTGTGACTTTATTCAAGAAAGGGACATGTATTGAGTTACAAACCTGTTTATTTTTGTCAGCCAACTGGACGCTAGTTGGAAACCTCCTTGCGAAGGTGAATCTCACACTCTTGATTGTTCACGAAGAACGTTTGCCGATTAAAGAAGGATGAATAATGACTTTAAGCGAAATCCTTCTCGTCATAGATTCTCAAAAATTTATATTTGTTCGGTTTTGTATTCTAACATAAACAAAGAATTTTTTCTAAAGAAATTAATTTTTAAAAATGTATTAATCCGACAGATTTTTTCGCTTTAAAATCTTCTTTTTTTGTTAATGCTGATATGTTTACATATAGGCACGAAGGAAACATAATGTTGTCCATTTATTCCGTCTTGTTCAGATTTCTTGTCTTTCTTTCAGGTTACGTTCAACTTTATGTTGACTGGATACTCAATAAATCCGTCTACGAAATGTTTAAAGAATTCTACCACGGATTTCACAGCGTCTGCGCATCGAACGCTCTGATCGTAAGTGTAATTTTTCAAAAAATATTTTCACCCAAAGCAAGGTAATAAAGCCACTAAGACACAAATCAGAAAGATATACTATTAAGGAAAGAGGATAATAAAAGAACAAGAAGACAGACATAACGATTGACATCGCATTTAAATTTTTGAAGATCAAATTTGACTGGGAAACAACAAGCCGGAAGAGAGTTCCACAAACGAGAAGTGTGAGAGAAACTGTTTTAGAATACAACTTACGGTTGCATCTAGCCATTTCAACTGTAAAATGATGAGACCCATCCGCCAATCTAGTACTGCGCTTAAAGTCTATGTACCATAGAAGTTCATCAGGACAATTACTACGTTACGGCAGTCGAGACGCCAGGTCAGGACCAATAACATTGCAGATTCTGTTTTGGATTTTATCAAGGATCTCTAAATATATAACAGAAGAATACGATCAGATGTGGCAACACTATTCAAAACACAAATGAATGGTAGACTTATGAATATGTAAGAGAGATTCTTTCGAGAAAAATTGTTTTATTAATCGACGTAACTGTGAAAATGTCATGGTTTTCCTATTTGAATTTTCTGATAAATAAGTTTCTTAAGTTAATGACTGAATAAGCTAATGGTGAGTTCTACGACAATAAAATATCTACAGAAATTCCCCTATCGTACCATTAATGATTCTTGTCGTTTTAAGAAGTAAGGGGATACAAACAGTGTCGTAGCGTGAGCGGGGCCAGAACGACGATTGCCCCGGGTGCTGAATTTTTAGGGACCCGAAAAATTAATTAGGTCAGGGAAATACGTACGAAAATAGAATTTAGTTCATAGCTAAGGGGGAGTCGCAATAGTTTAAAATAGCCCGGGCGTTCAAGACCCACCTTGTGTCGCTGGATTGTGACTGTGTTTACTGTTGCAGTAGAAAGTGGATCAGGTTAATTTATGGTCAATTTACGCGAGAAATGTTCATGTAAAGAAAAATGGACTGGTAAATCTTTCACCTGTCCAGAAGTTCTCGCCTGTCGACGGGGCCTAGAATAATCCGACTGTATCCCCTGAGAAAAAGGCCACCTTCTAGCTGGATGCTTTCAGACTCATATATAAACCTTATCAACGTCTGCGAAGATAGACATGCATGAACCCGACCAATATTTGCTTATGGACTCAGGCTTAAACTCGACCAATGTTTTATAGCAGTGTTTTTCAACCCCCTTTTTTTTTTATTTCAGGCTGTACTTTTGTCTTTTTTTACAGTAAGATTCGCCCTGTAAAATGCTCGAGGGTCACTCGAAGTAGAGGGTTACGCTAATGGGTACTTTATACGGATAGGAGGGGAAGATAACAGTTAACTCTAGACTTGAACAGTCTAAGATTATAGTGATTGAGGAGACATCCTCTTGGGAGCAGTGGTTCGTTGGAAGAAGCTGTCCGAGAGGAACTTATTTCTCACCGATAAAACACATAGGGGATATGGGTAGCGTGCTACAATGTAAGTGGCATGGCGGGTCTCTGCCGTGAAGGTTAGACCTGGCAGAGCCAAGGAATGCAGTTCATCCGAGCACTTTCCATGGAATCAGCGATAGAGCAGTGAGAGACTCGCCATATCCCGGCCGTGAGAGAGAGAGGCTGGATGGTAGAAAATAATTCTTCTTCAACAAGGACTCGGAGACGCTTTTGAATGCTATCAAAACTGGAAAGTGAGGACAGGGCAGCTCCCGTCCAAATACGGCAACAGTACTCAGTTTTCGGTCTGATCTGGCTCTTATAAAGGTAGAGAATAGCATGAGGAGTCTGGTACTTACTGGTGTGGTACAGGGAACTGATCATTTTACCCGAATCTTTAGCGATGCACACTCGAATTCGGGTGTGAGTTTGAGGCCCAATATCCTCTCAAGGCACGGTACCTTCTCAAGAGGACATCCGTCCACCGTGACTTGGCATTGGTTCGGGATCTTATCAGCGGTGATAGTGTAAATTAAATCATATTTATTATAAAACGCAAATTGTGTGCGTGTGTGTCTGTTCGTTTATATATTGGATCGGATTTCCTACATTTTTCAACCGATTTCAACAAAACTTCACAGGACTACGTAAAATTACCTTGCGGTGGTTATGACAGCGCCAAAAATTGGAAAAACACAATTGTTTTTGCATGAAATCAATTTGAAAACACGATTAAGAGTCATCGCGAGAATGAAAAGGGGACAACTCATATCGAGTTATACTTATTATAAAAACCCAGGTTGTGTGTGTGTGTGTGTGTGTGTGCGTGCGTGCGTGTTTGTGTGTGTGTGTGTGTGTTCCTTCATATATGGGATCGGATTTCCTACATTTTTCAACCGATTTCAACAAAACTTCACTTTTTTTTTGGCAGGTAGTGTTTCTTATTGTCTTGCACACTTTTTCTTTATTTTTACATTCAGAATGCTTTAAAAATTCCATTTACAAGACAAATTCTATTCAATCGATAGACTCATAACGATTGAAAACAATGTTTTTGTTTGAGTTTGGGTTTGACCAATTCGTAAAAAAATAAAAAATAAAAAAATAAAACTAATTAAGACATGCGCGTCCGTCAACCTTAAACAATAATCTTTGTCAATTTTATTTTTCAGTCTTTATGATGGTCGATACTTGATCTATCTCTTACTGTTACATCCCCGGGCAACGCCGGGCTCTACTGCTAGTAGTTACAATAACTCATCTCAGAAATATAGATATTGACAGTCTGATGTTTGGAAAGTGATGGGGACAGAACCACGAGAAAATATTTTAATACAACGTGAACGCCATTATATATATTATATATATATATATATATATATATATATATATAATGGCGAAACGAGTCTAGTTATCTATTTATATATATATATATATATATATATATATATATATATATATATATCAAACATAACCTTTATGAACCCCCAACACTTTCAAATTAAAACAAAATAACAGCGTCTGTTTCTAGCCTGTTTTTTTTTTTCCAAAGAAAATTAGTGACACCTTTTCTCATGACTTCCTTCTCTCTTTTTCTCTTTATGTGTTTTTTCTCCTCTACCATTTCGATATCAATATATAACTTCCGTTAAGTTAACCGTTTAAATGTGTCAATGTCTGGACCTCCTCAAGTAAAATTAAATTACATCTAACTCACTCATGTCTTTTCTCTCCTCCCTCACTTCCTCACTTCGTTAATTTACATATGTTTAATACGGCCCGTCAAAAATGTGTAAATTTCTTTTCGTTTTTTGTTTCAACCTTTGGAAGTAAAGTCTGATAATCCACAGTCCTTTAAAAGGGCTGTGGTGAAATAATTTATTACATGGAACCTTAAAGTGGTCTGTTTTTATTTAAATTATTTGCTCTGGATTTACATTGAGCTCTCTGGATTTTACCCACCTTGGGTTTACCTAGTTTTACGGATTACCTATTTTATATATATATATATATATATATATATATATATATACCCAGTAATCTTAAAAGAAAGTATTTTAACTCTTAACTTAAAAAGGTTAAGATTGTAGTGATCGAGGAACAGTGATCTTGGGAGTCTCTTCCACAGAGCATTGGTTCACTGGAAAATGGAATATAGATGGAATTTGGGTAGTTTGATATAATGTAAGTGACATAGCTGGTCCCAGCCGTGAAGGTTAGACATGGCGGAGCCAAGGAATGCAGCTCGTCCGAGCACATTCCATGGAAGTAACGATAGAAAAGTAAGAAACTCGTCACATCCTGCCTGTGGAATTGAGGTTGGAGGGTAGAGAATAATTCCTTTGGGTCGCACTTTAAATTTTAATAATGAAAAATTAAATTTGAAGATAGAAAAATAATAAAGAAGACTCCTGAAAGTAAGCATTTATTACATTGTATATTTAAACTGTACAGTTTTTATTTAAAGATGTTTATGAAGAATCTCCAATTTTTTTTTTTAGAGAGGCTGATTTAAATTCCTTCAGGAATCCGAAAGAGAAAGGATTATACACTCCTTAAAGATTTACAGAGAGCTAATCTCATCATGCAAAGGAGACATAACACGGTCATTATATAAAAGAAAGGAAAAAGCATAATTGCCCATTCTGATTAATTATGACCCAGAATTGGAGAAGAAGACGTTGCGATGAAAGAAGATCTTGACAGAGAGGAAAGGATGAGTTCTTTAGATCAGGACAATGCAATAGAAGACGAGCCTATGGACGATAGCGGGCGTAACTCGGAGACGGAAAAAGATGAAATAAGAACAAGATCGCCATTACAAAGAACACGAGACAAAACTCAAGTGGAAGATGAAGGAAGAGGTTGTAGAAAAAATTCGAGAACAACTAAAGGCGTTAAACCTCTTCAGTTCAGGGTGGTGTAGTGGATTGGTAAATAGGATTTTACTTATTTGCATATGTTAAGTAGAAGTGAAATAAAGTGTATAGTAAAGAAAGAGACAGACGGAAGTTGACTACTAATCACGGGACATAGAACAACACAATATTAAATATAAAAATAATTAATAAATTACTCTTCTGTTAAATTGGGGCGCTCTTGGCTACATTTCAGGGTGTATCAGTACGCCCGGGGGCACAGGTTGAGAAACGCTGATGTATAAACTCAAATATGGGCCAGTGTTTGCCTGGCATTTTTTTTTTTTTTGCCTGACCCGTGTTTTCGAACGCGACGGGTGTTTTTTTAACAGAGACTGGCGTGGACATGATCATTGTTTAACGGAGCTCGACGTTGATTTGTTCAAAAATTGCAAATGTGTTAACCAACTTAAACTGAAAAAATCTTATCCGACTATTACAAGAGAATTCGCGGGGGTGATTTGACAAAAATCGGAAGGTACTTATAATTGAAAATTTTAATATAAAAAAAAATTGAAAATTTTAATTTTAAAAAAATTGAAAATTTAAATATTAAAAAAATTGAAAATTTTAATATAAAAAAACTGAACATTTTAATGTTAAAAAAATTGAAAATTTTAATATAAAAATATTCAAAATTTTAATATTAAAAAAATTGAAAACTTTAATATTAAAATAAATTGAAAATTTTAACATTAAAAAAAAATACCCAATAAAAAAATAGATCTAAAAATATTTAGAAATACTTGAAATATTTTGTGAAATATCACCCCGGATATTTTAAATAAATGTAATCCAAACGTTCCTCAGGGATGATTTTCATATAAGATACTAGCAGTAGAGCCCGACGTTGCCAGAGGATGTAACAGTAAGAGATAGATCAAGTATCGACCATCATAAAGAATGAAAAATAAAATTGACGAAGATTATTGTTTATGGTTGACGGACACGCATGTCTTAATGAATTTTTTTTTTTTTTACGAATTAGTCAAACCCAACCTCAATCAAAAACACTGTTTTCAATCGTTATGAGTCTACCGATTGAATAGGATTTTATTATAAACAATTGTCTTGTAAATGGGATTTTTAAAGCATTCTGAATGTAAAATAAAGAAAAAGTGTGCAAGACAATAAGAAACACTACCTGCCAAAAAAAAAGTGAAGTTTTGTTGAAATCGGTTGAAAAAATGTAGAAATCCGATCTAAATATAAACACACACACACACACACACACACACAACCTGGGTTTTATAATAAGTATAACTCGATATGAGTTGTCCCCCTTTCATTCTCGCGACAGAATTGTATTTTATCGTGTTTTCAAATTGATTTCGTGCAAAAACAATTGTGTTTTTCCAATTTTTGGCGCTGTCAGAACCACCGCAAGGTAATTTTACGTAGTCCTGTGAAGTTTTGTTGAAATCGGTTGAAAAATGTAGGAAATCCGATCCCATATATAAACGAAAAGACACACACACACACACACACACACACACACAAAGAAACAACCTGGGTTTTATAATAAGTATAACTCGATATGAGTTGTCCCACTTTCATTTTCGCGATGCTTCTTAATCGTGTTTTCAAATTGATTTCGTGCAAAAACAATTGTATTTTTCCAATTTTTGGCGCTGTCAGAACCACCGCCGGGTAATGTTACGTAGTCCTGTGGAGTTTTGTTGAAATCGGTTGAAAAATGGTCTAAATCCGATCCAATATATAAACGAACAGACACACACACACACACTCAATCTGCGTTTTATAATAAGTATGATGATTCGATAAAATGCAAATTTTATTTCGCTGCTACGATGCATTAGACGCTCCCAATAAATTTTGAAAGAGGAAATCGGATTTTTTTTTGTTGTTGTAATTCAAAGCCCCCGCCCCCTATGCAACAGTTTATCCACTGAATAGCACATTTCGGCCTGAAATTCTCATATTCATCATAGACCGAGAAATACTAAATTTATGTTCTATTTTCAATACAGGGTACGACCGAATCACCCACCCATATACCTCCTCGAAATCCCTTTTTTATTAATGTTCATGCAGTACAAAGCCCGAGAGCTACTGAAGGTAGAATGTTACTGCGTGGTGTTGTATGAGCGTAACAATGGGCAAAAAGTGAAGTTCTTGGGGCTAAGCAAGAAAGACAAGGTTGACCCAAGACATGAAGAGGTCAAGATTTAATCAATGAATAACATTTCAGTCAGAGACATTAGAAATATAGTGTGAAAATAGACTTTAGGGAACCGGAAACCCAATCCTAAACAGAAAACAAGGGATAAATATCTACTCCTGTTAAAAAGACCGGGGAGGAAGTGTGAACCGGACGATAGCATTAAAATGTATAGAAAATAGGAAAGAACTAGTTTGGTAAATAATCTGTAAAGCTCTTTAGTATTTTTGTTATTATTTTAAAAAATGTGTGCTCGATTTGAAAATGTATAGAGCATAAATATAATTTTTTATCTCCAAAAATATATTTTTTAAAAATTCTCGAACAAAACGCTACATAATTATTTTCTCATGTTCCAAAAACAAGAGCCGAAAACTTCAATATAATTATTTGAATTAAATTGAATTAAAGTAAGCTCTGTTCTATCTTCAAGCGAAATATTTTTTGGAAAGCCGCCCACCTTAACCTGAATTGACATCTATGAATGTAACTCTATGCTGATACAAATTATTAACACCCAACACCCCTCCCTATTTAAACAATCGCCCTGGCTGTTACTATGGAAATTTTAATTTCAATTATGAATATGTTATTAAAACACGTAAATTTCAGAAATAAGTTATTCCAAAAAAAAATTTCGCTTGAAGATGGAACAGAGCTTACTTTAATTAAATTTAATTCAAATAATTATATTGAAGTTTTTTCGGCTCTTGTTTTTGAAACATGAGACCTCTTATGTAGCGTGTTGGAATCATTTTTTTAAATAAATATATATATATATATATATATATATATATATATATATATATATATATATATATATATATATATATATATATATATACGCTTAATTCTATTATTTTATTATTTTTGTTTTTGTTTTAGATGCTGCGGCCTGAGGAAGTTGAGATGTTAGTGTGCGGCTGTCCGACACTGGATTTGAACGAGCTCAAAGCGGTGGCTACTTATGATGGCTACACATCCTTGGACGTCACAATCAAGTAAGACGCTGAAAAGTTTATATAGAAGTACATTAAAGCATAATGACTCTAAGTCGATCCAAGAGATTCCAACAATTGCACTATCCAGCGTCCGCACTTCTCAAGTTTTGTTTAATCAATTCACCCCAAGTAAGGCGATAATGCCACTAAGACGCAAGGAGCTACTGGGAGAGAAATCCAACCCCTACTCCTGTTCAAAATACAGTGTGTGATCCGGATGATAGGTGAACCTATTTACTCCTATAAAAAAAAAATAGGAAAAGATAAAATAAAATAAGAAATAAATATTAAATGAAATTTCACAGTTTAGGCGGAAATGTCTGAAGTTGAAGGAACCAGAAACCCAATCCTACCGAATCAAGTGTAAAAAATGTTTTTTGCTTCATCCGGTGAGGAATAAGGGCATCTATTTTCCTATTTATTTTTAATTTTTAATACTGCCTCTTCATGCGCAAGGTGTGTAAAAAAAAAAAAAAGATACACATTTTTATAGGGTATAGCTAAAGTCAATTTTCTTACCTTTCAGATTTATACGTTAGCATGACTAAATGTCATCCATGTCTCTCCTGGGTATGACGATAAAGTACATCCGCGTCCAGGATAAGACGATGAACTGCAATCGACTACAGTTAAGTTAGGCGTGGTTTCAAACATGCGCAGTAAGCTCATATCTGATTGGTTAACGTGTTACCATAAGTGTGTATGCAAACCTGCACAGTAAACTCATCTCTGAGTGGTTAACGTCACCTTAAGCGTGTATTCATGAATCAGGAGGTTTTGAGGAGCGTGGAACCACCTCTTAGTTGCTGGTGTTCCCTGACTCGGGGTGGTGGCAACTGTTAGGGTCCCAGCTATGGGCAAAGAGTTACCCCCCAAACTGGGGGTCAAAACACTATGAAAGTGTAAAAATAGGTTTTAATACCAGCAAATGTAAGGATATTATCAGCAATGAATTTTTGAAGGAAAAAATATTACCAGCAACACATTTTTGAAAAAAATATTACCAACAATAAAAATATTGTCGGCATTAAATAACTCTTTGAGGTTGTTATGCCGTAAAACGAACCAAACCAAACCAAGTCATCCATAGAATGCTGATGGAAGTATGAAAATGCAGTTGATGTTCAAAGGTGATATGAAAGAGCGTTTCATTCAGATCCATCCACGCAATCTCACGATTTGGAGATAAGTTTCGAGCTGATGACACTGTACCCGATGTGCACAAGAACCACCCTGAAAGACCACAGATATCAACCACGCCGTGAGTAGCAAGAAAGGGTGATGGAAAGTTTTCACAGAAGTTCAAGAAATCTATCGAAATGTTGACTGCTGCTTGTGATTCCGTTGAGTCGCGTTGTCAGTAATGTCTGCATCATAAGGGCGCTTCGAGGTGGTGTAATGGCTAGCAAGCTTGTCTCGCAAAAACAATTACGACTGAGTAGTGAGTTCGATCCTCACTGGGTGCCCCATTCTTTCGGCCTTGTGCCACGTCTAAGCTACGCTTGGAAAATCACTGTCTGGGTCATAACGGGTAATTTGAAAACAAGCGATGGCAAAATCTTGAGAGCAAGCACTTATAATTCAAAATTAAACTGCTCGCTATTAATCACCCTGAGAGACCCCTTTATGCCTTTCATCAGCACGGCTGATGCTAACCACCAACCTCGTTGCGTCTTCTCGGGCTGACATGTAGCGGAAAGACTATATTGAATTCATTGTGAGGTCAGCTACTAAGAATATATGATCGTGCTAGACAATTCTTCTCTCAGGAATCTCTTACATATCTATGTCTGTCATTCATCTGTGCGTCTGCTATATATTTAAAGAACCTTGATAAAATCCAAAGAAGGATATGCAGTATTATTGATCTTGACCTGGCATCTCGGCTTCAGTCACTTTCCCACCACCGTAACGTAGCTTCCCTGTTATATATATATATATATATATATATATATATATATATATATATATATATACTTTCAAGGTAATTGTTCTGATGAACTTTCCTCTATGGTACCTAGACTTCATGAATTTAAGCGCAGTACTGGATTGGCGGAAAGGTCTCGTCATTTTACAGTTGAAATGCTTAGCTGTAACCGTAAGTTCTATGTTAACAGTTTCTTCTATTGAACTTCCCAGTGAACTTTGATCTTAAAGAAATTAAATGAAATGTCAATCGTTATCTTCTACTTTTTTAAATTCTTGTTCTTTTATTGTCCTCTCTCTTTAATAGTATGTTTTTTTCATATTTTTTCATACTCAGTAGCCTCTTGTGTGTTAGTGGCTTTATTGCCTTGCTTGGTGTGAAATAATTTTTAAAAAAATGATATCCTCTGCTAAAAAACACGTTATCTGTCTGAAAAGAGATAGCTAAAAATTTAATTCAATGTCTGTTCTTTATTTCTGTTTTAGATATTTTTGGGATGTCGTTCTGAAATTTCCTCTTGAATTCCAAAAGAAACTTTTACTTTTCACCACCGGAAGTGACCGCGTGCCAATCGGAGGTACAGCGGATATGACCTTCAAGATAACAAAAGTCGACGACACTTCGTTGTGAGTAAAATTACGTTCACTCCCTCTTCCTTAACTCTTTGCCTGCCCGAGGCATTGTCGTGTGTACTATCCAAATGCTCATGTTTTTTTTCTTCAGATTTATAACTACTGCAAGGCAACTCAACTTATTTGGCAAATATAATGTGCAGATATATCGTGTTTCACGTAATAAAAACCTGTGCATCACGTGATGCACAGAACGTACAAATCATAAGCTATTTACACTACGCCATGTGCATCACATGTGATGCAAAGGTTATAATCATTTCAATAAAGTGGAAATATACATGCCTTTCATTTGAAATCTTATAAAGGGTGTTCCGATAACTTGGACCGATTTTAAATGTGAATTAAGTTTAAGCATCTAATCTTCTTTCTTCAACTAGTAATTACCAGTACTTTAAAAAATTGGGGGTAAAAAAACACCATATGGGACTAATGCAGGGTTAAACGTTGTAATTATCTTATTGTGACATCACAGTAGTGTCAAATCTTAAACTAAGTATTATTTTTACATTAGTGTCGTAAGTTATTTTAAGAGTAAGAATACATTTCATATTTGTGTTGCGTATTAAAATTAATAAAAGAATACTTTGATTTTGATTTTAATGTTTAGTAACCCTTAAATTTAAAAAGGTAGGCCCACACTGTCTCGTATGGTAAATTTTATTTCCACTATTTTTTAAAGACATTCTCAGGAAGTCAATTCCTTGGGCACCCGTCTATCTTAAGTTTACAGTAGAGCCTTGTTCACCCAATATCTGTCCTATTGAGATCAGAGTCAGTGTTGTACTCCCACCGGTTAGTTAGAGTGAAGTGACCCCTCCAGACTGTAGGATAAAGTGATTGGGTGGCCTTGTGATATCCGGATAGTAGCACGCTCCCGACCATCTCGGCCAAACCGACGAAAACATAAAGGAACAACTCGGTCTAGTCTGACTGCATTTGTCGAAAGGTTAATGTTGACAACCAACAGTCCTAGGGACTCTGTATTTTGTCTGGATCTACTCTCATAGTCTTAGGGTTAGTCTGAAAATGGCCGCAAAGCAGTGAAGATTTAAATCAGGGTATTCTTGCTCCTAGGCGAACTCCTTTCCCAGGCTGACGAGCGCCATCTTCCTGAAACATCCGACTCTCCTTTCGGTCTTTCTTTCTTTTATTAGAAAGAGGTCAGAGCTTGCATTTGGAACATATCCGCTAAGAAAAAAAAATACTAGTTTTATGGTCTAAAGAAAATGAGTGAATATTTTGAGCCTTAAACTCTGAATGTAATTTTAAGTACAAAATTGTTCGAGTTTATTTTGTTCGAGTTTTTTTTTTTAAGTACATTTTTAAAAAAATCTACATTACCTCATTAAATGTATCTTCTTTAATATTTTGTTTTCCAGGCTTCCAATGTCACACACCTGTTTTAACCAACTCGTTCTGCCAACTTACAAGAACAAGAAAACACTTAGAGCAAAATTACTGACTGCAATACAAAACGCCGAAGGGTTTGGTCTGGAATAAAATATAGAGATGAACAATGGTCGGAGCTTCAAAAAAAAAAAAGGAAATTGGTTCAGCTTCCACTGCTGTTCAATTCACACATTTGTTTGAAAAAGAGACATTAAAAATTAAAAAGAAAACAACAAAGCAAAAAAAGTTATTACCAAATTATATTTTCATATTTATGAGATTATTAAAGTCCGTGCACGTGTTAATAAGGACACAGTAGATGTGATACGAAATTTGTTTTAAATTTTATTTCAATGAAAAATCACAGTCACAGTTAGGAGGATAATATATATACCCAAGACTATATATATATATATATATATATATATATATATATATATATATATATATATTATAATTATTTTTTAAAATATGATTCCATCGCGACACAAAATATACTATGTTTCGAAACGGAAAAATCCACATCTAGATTAATTTTAAAAAACAAAATTCTGTGTTGTAGATTTAATTTTTAAAATTAATCGACATTTGGAGTTTTCCGTTCTGAAACATAGAATGCTCTGTGTCCCAATGGAATCATATTTAAAAAAATAATAATCATAATATTAAGCTCTACATACCGTATTGAGCACTGTTTTTTAAATAAAAATAAAAGCTAAGAACTCTGAATTATATAATAAAAAAAACAGTGATATTTATATATATATATATATATATATATATATATATATATATATATATATATATATATATGTATTTACGTGTGCGACTTAAGTTTCGATGGTTACCCAACTCGTCAGGCACAAGATATAGCCTATTTAAAAAAGAACAATAAGCTATATCTTGTGCCCGATGAGTTGGGCAACAAACGAAACTTAAGAAGGTATATGTATATTTATTAATATATTGTTCTTAGCTCTGTCTAACCACATCGAGCACTATTATGTTTACACCTCTAGGCAAAATTTGGTAATTATTTATTTGCTTACCTGTGTATGCACGCCAGCACGCGCGTATACGGTTGTTAATATCTAGTTATTTCATTTACCTAACCACACACACACACACACATATATATATATATATATATATATATATATATATATATATATATATATATATATATATATATATATATATATATATATATATATATATATATATATATATATATATATATATATATATATATATATATATATATATATATATACACACACACACACATACATACATATATATATATATATATATATATATATATATATGCTCAATGTAATATAATGGAAGTATTAAGTATATATTAGTAAATATACATATTATCCTTCATCGATAGCACGACTCTGGGTTTCATGCACAACGCAATATTCAGGTGAAGGGTATAGACTGACAGTTGCATAATTTAAATTTTAAGAAAAATATCTGGTTAACGTAATGTTGGCGTAACAATCAAATTAATTGATGGTTACATGTCGGTATAAAAATAAATATTTGCTGAAATACGTTGATACAGATGAATTTTTAATGTAAATTATGAACATTTTTAAATTTTAAAATTTAAGTCCCCCAGTTACCTCCCTTTATGCTTATTATAAAATAATATTCACAACTTAAAATTATTATTTTTTCTTCTTCTTTTTATTTACTTTATATATATATATAAAATAAAAATCCTGTCTCTTTTAAATGCAAAATATACTTTTAAAATAAAAATCTATAATCCTCATATAATATGTGAACTGCACCAACATTGCGTTAAAAAAGGTATTTTTATTAAAATTTAAATTATATGACGGTCAGTGTATACTAAACACCTGAAGATTGCGTCGTGCTATCGGTGAAAGATAATATATATATATATATATATATATATATATATATATATAAAGAAATATAGTCTTAAGGTGTGCTATATTTATGGAATAAAGTGCTCAATATCAGAGATAGAGCGTGTGTAAATATAAAAGTGAACATAGAAGTCAACACTTAGAGGCGACAGTCTGTTTCATGCTATATGCAATCGTCAGGCCACATATGCTGTTATTTTTCTCGGCTATTTATATATATACGGGTTAGTGGTGCATTGTGGGTATTCCATTATGGCGGTTATTTTACCGGAAGTAGTTTGTTTATTTATTTGGGTCAAATTATATTGCTCGTTTTTATTTCTTATTTTATTTATTTATTAACGTAGTAAAAATTTGTTTATATCACTTATTTAACAGTTTTGTTTTGGTTTGAGAATTTAATTAAAGCTATTTGTTCAATTTTGAGGTTGGTTGTTGTAGTTCATTCTAATTCTTATTTTGGCGGGAACAGTTTTTAATTTGGGATTGGTTTGTCTATTTATTTACTTGGATGAATTTAGGTCAATTTATTTTACTTGTATATTTTCTCTTTTCGTTTTTTGGTTTTAAGCAACATAGTATTTATTTATTTTTTTTATTTCTATTTTTTATTATTAGTGTATTTATTTGTTTTTGTTTTATTTTTTCCGTTTTTCATTTTTTAGGTTACGTAGTAAAAATTTATTTTCATGCCTGCATTTTGAGATGAGCTCGGATCTTTTATTTAATAATTTATTTTGGTCGGGGCTATCATTACTTTCCCCGACCAAAATAAATTATTAAATAAAAAGATCCGAGCTCATAAATAGACGAGAAAATAACAGCATATGTAGCCTGATGATTGCATATAGCATGAAACAGACTGTCGCCTCTAAGTGTTGACTTCTATGTATTTTTATATATATATATATATATATATATATATATATATATATATATATATATAAGTGGACATTGAAATCAACACCCTGTGGCGACAGACTGCTTTATGCTTAAACGCATACTTAAGGCCCTAAAGATTGGTTTTAAGCACCATTGAATGTTGACTTCAATGTCCACTTTTATTTTTATATACGTTCTATCCCAGATATTGAGCACTTTAACCCATAAATATAGCATATCTTAAAACTATATTTTTATCGTATATATATATATATAAAAGCTGGAATTTGTTTACAAACACACACACACACACACACACACACACTCGCACAAGTATATATTAACGTCCTTGGAAAATAAAATCGTATGTTGGAGGACCCAAACTGTAAATTTTAGGCGTAATTTTTTTGTCTTTTCATTCAAGTTGTTGAAATTAAAGATCTCATGTGATTACGTTTGACTTATTGTATGAACTTGAAATAGACGCAATCTACAGTAGTCCGCTGACTGCTCACCGAGACCTTTCGTGGGTAGTGCAATGATTTAGGTGTTGACGGAATCACGGATTATTTCAACAAAAATAAAAAGATTTAGTTTCACAGTTAATTTTTCTCATTGTTCATGCAAATGATTATATTCTTGACAAATAAATTTAAGTTTATTACAAAAAATATTTATAAGTTTTTTTTTTATTATAACTCCAAAAATATGACCAAATTATTTCACAAACAATCTAATATATATATATATATTCAACATCATCACTTGATAAGATACCGAGGGTGTTGAAACAAAATGACTATTTTTGTAGTGATTTTATAACATATTTATGTTATAATTTTTTTTTATAAAAAATAATTATATATATATATATATATATATATAAATATATATGACGTCACACATTATGAAATGGACAAAGTCCGACAATTATTTTTTAAGACATTTTTTATGTTTATACGTTCTTTTTATAGATACAAATATTTAAGTAAATGCTCTGTTTTATAATAAACAGTATCAACAACATTTACCGGCCTGAATGTCATTTGTTTACATTTGGATACGCATTGAGCAGATATAAATGTATGAGAGAAAATCATGGAGAATTGTGTTTAAAAACAGTAAAATCGACCTTGCTAACCGAACGCTCCTCTGTGGCCTAATCGGTTAAGGCACGTCAGGCTATATGACGGTTCCGTATAGGATGCAGGTTCGATTTTCTATGAAAATTTCTCGGACATTCAGGCCGGTAAATGTTATAAGACAGAGCATTTACTTTTTTTTGAGTTTCTTTTTTCCAGATTTTTAGATAAGACGTTTAGCCATCTTGACACCATTTGTTGTAAGAATCACGGGAAAACCCTTTGAAAAAAAGAGAACAAGTTAAAATCGTTTTGTTTTAGCCCCACTGGCTTCCCAAATGAGAACAGTAGAGCTGGAAACTGGACCAGATCACAACAGGAAGAGGGATCATCATTTCAAATTAGAGAAAAAAAAACACAATTAGAAAAGATCCAACTCAATCCATAAACGTTTGACACGTGAGAAAGGAGTTTCAGCTATGACAGTCCAAACAGCAGTGAAAAAAAGAAATCGTATGTGAAACCTATGAGGAATCTTGTTACACTAGGACAGAAAGTTAGAAGGTTAGAGAGGGTGAAGATCATCTTGAATAAGTTGGAAAATGTTCCTGGAATCATATATATATATATATTTGAACTTAATTTCAATCCTTCACGAGCTTCTGATCCTGAGCTATGGTTAATTAATGATGAATATGTTATTTTCGTTTAACATCGATTTCATCACGATTCTTCTGTTAAGCTCAGAGAGTAATTATACATTCTTATTGCTCAAAGTAGAGTCCAAAAAAACTCGGAGAATTCCAGTAAGATATCTTTAATCATTTCTAAGGTACAACGGTACAAAGCGCAATCTAACAAATGGACAATTTCGTTTTTACACCCGCTATATATATATATATATATATATATATATATATATATATATATATGTATAATTATTTATTTAAAAATATGATTCCAATTCGCGACATAAGAGGTCTCATGTTTCAAAACAAGAGCCGAAAACTTCAATATAATTATTTGAATTAAATTGAGTTAAAGTAAGCTCTGTTCCATCTTCAAGCGAAATTTTTTTGGGAATAACGTATTTCAGAAATTTACGTTATCGAGCACTATTTTTAAAATAATAACTAAAATACTAAGAAACTTTGGATTATTTACCTAACCAGTTCCTTCCTATTTTCTATATATTTTCACACACACACACACACACACACACACACACATATATATATAT